CCAGGCTCTAAAAGAGCTTTGCCCAACTCTCTCTAGTCATTAGGGATAATTCTACTACAAACTGACCACGATTTTGATATTTCCTTCACAAAAGGTAAAATCATGCCATATGAGAGAGACTATTGCGTCTTTGAATCTCCTTAAATCTAACACTGGCACAGGAATCCATTCAATTTTTACATAGCCTTCAGCATTTGACAATTTCTGTAAGGTTACTGGATATATTAAGGTTAGTTGTTTGAAAACTTTGGAACTCACTCCACAACCAGAGAAGTATGACAGTGGACATACAATCACTAAACCTACTGGTTTTAGCATGTTCTGACCGTTCTGGAGCAACTGTCCTAATAGAAAGGGGGAATGGCCTTTTGAAGACACATATACAGTCCAAATTAGGAAGCAGCAGCCTGGATGCCTGGGGCAAAGTTCTCCAGAAGGCAGTATACACTTTAAGTAAGTGTCCATTACATGGTACAATTTATCTGATAGCTAGGATCCACGGGTCCAGGAATCTAGGGGTAGAAAAGGGAATATTCTATTCACTATCACCCCTGTGATCCACTAGGAAAATTTTTGCTTCCTGTTCCCCTGACCTTAAGTTCTGCTGGCCTAGAAGGTTTAGTTGCAGAGCAGAGAGAGCTCCTGCCAGGAACCACAATAAACATTCCATTGAGCTGGAAACTCAAGACTTCCCTCCGGAAACCTTGGACTTCTGATGGCCCTAAACCAACAGGTTAAGATAGGAGTAACAGTATTAGAAGAGGTGATAAACCCAGATTGCCATGGGGAAATTGGATTGCTCCTCCAGAACTGAGGTAAGAGAGAGATAATGGCTGAAGTTCAGATCCTTTAGGGTGACTCTTGGGTCTACCAGGACCTGTGATTAAAGTCAATGGGAAGCTACACCAGCCTAACGCAGGGAGGATGACAAAGAACACAGACCCTTTAGGAATGAAGGTGTGGGTCATTTCTCTGGGAGGAGTCAAGACCTGCTGAAATACTTGCCAACCGTGAGGGAAATACAGAATGTAGTTATAAATACCAGTTAAGGCCCCTTCAACAAAAAAGGGATAATTGACATGAGTACTTACTTCTGCTGTATTTTTTTAATAATGTGTTAGTGCAATATTTTTTTCTTTCCTCAATTTCTTTCCTTTTTCTTTTTTTTCTTTCTTTTTTTTTTTTTGAGACAGGGTTTCTCTGTTGCTTTGGAGCCTGTCCTGAAACTCGCTCTGTGGCCCAGGCTGGCCTCGAATTCACAAAGACCCACCTGCCTCTGTCTCCCATATGCTGGGATTAAAGGTGTGCATACCACTGTCTGGCCTCAATTTCTTTACTATGTGATGTAACATCAATTAAGAGAGCATCAATGGTTATCATAATTAAGTTTGAGATACTAAAAGAATGTCCCTCACAGGACATTATCACCTTTTCTAAATTTTTTTTTAATAAATAAGTTTATTTATTTGCTATGTATACATGACATTCTGCCTCCATGTATGCCTGCATCAGATCTCAGTACAGATGGTTGTGAGCCATCATGTGGTTGCTGGGAATTGAACTCAGGACCTCTGGAAGAGCAGGCAATGCTCTTAACCACTGAGCCATATCTCCAGCCCCCACCTTTTCTAAATTTATAATGCAATTGCGGTTGTATGAGGGTAGTTATACTATGTTAGGCATAGTATAACCTAGTTAAATGTACAATGTGCTTGTGTTTGTACATGGAATAGCTATGTTGAGTTGTTATTATAACCTAATTATTGTGTCCCCCCCCCCACTATTGTTTTACTTTGGAAATTAATTGACAAGGGGTGGGTTTGTGATGGCTCTACTTGGTTGTCAACTTGACTACTTCTGAAATAACTTAAAACCCAGAAATGGGGGGCACTCGTGCGAGGGATTTCTGCTTAATACGAAGTAGAAAGATCTTTGAAGTAGAAAGGCAAACTCTTTTTTTTTCTTTAAGATTTATTTTTTATTTATTTTTACCGTATTCTGTCTGCATGTATGCCTGCAGGCCAGAAGAGGGCACCAGATTTTATTAAAGATGGTTGTGAGCCACCATGTGGTTGCTGGGAATTGAACTCAGGACCTCTGGAAGAACAACCAGTGCTCTTAACCTCTGAGCCATCTCTCCAGCCCCCGAAAGGCAAACAACCAGTGCTCTTAACCTCTGAGCCATCTCTCCAGCCCCCGAAAGGCAAACTCTTAAACCAGATCTTTAGCCAAAATCTAATGTGGGCCACACCTTCTGCTTTGTAAGAACACAGAACAAGGAAGTTTCTGCTATTTTCCTGCTTGCTCTCACCTTGCTAGTAATTCCATTCCTTTACTGGCATTCTTTAGGATTCCAGCATACACTGTAGGCCAGCTGAGACGTCTAGCTTTGTGGACCGAGAAACTACTGGGTTCTTGGACTTTCTGCTCATAGCCTGCAACTGTTGGATTAGCTGGAGCTCAGCCTGTAAATTATTCTAATAAATCCTTTATACCCTTACACACACACACACACACACACACACACACACACAAAGACAGAGAGAGAGAGAGAGAGAGAGAGATTCATTCTATAAATTCTGTTAGTCTAGAGAACCCTGGATATAATACAGGGAGATCCAGGGAGCATTTTTTTTTTCTTGATGGTACCCGAGGTTAAACTTTAGACAAGCAATCTATCACAGTGAGAAACTTGGAGTTCCCTGGCTGGGAGACAGGTAGGGGGTGGGCAGGCGTGAAGAGGAGGTAATAAAGGCAGTAAATTTCCAACACCCCGGGGTTCTTCCTCACCCTCCTGACTTGAGACAAAAACGTGGCAGCTTAAAACAATGGCTTCGTAGGTTTCTGGCTCCCTCCAGCAGCCCCCCCTCCCCCACTGCTGGACTGGCTCAGCAAGTTCAAGGCAAGATCACAACATGGTACACAACAGTCGTGGCCCAATCAACCATCCCATCCTTGGTCCAACTGACCAACTCTACATTAGGTGGAGGAAAACTCTTTTGAGAAACTTGTAATAAGCCAGCCCCAGAGAAGAGACAGAATTTTTGGCTTAGGAGTTCAAATCCCCTATTCTGCTTTCCAAAGGGCCTTTTTCTCTGTGTCTGCGCATGCGTGTGTTTACACACACACACACACACACACACACACACACACACACACAGTAACTGCCTTTCTTCAATAGCTGATTCTGTCTGCTGCTGTCTATGGTATTTGTTGAGATTTCTCTGATGCTATTTGTTGTGCTGGAGATTTTTCCTGCCTTCTAATTCTTTAACTGGCAGAGAAAATGAACCTATCAAGACCTCTAGATGGTAGCAACTGAACTAGCTCCCCAAGAATATTGAACTTTGCCTGAAGGTTAGACTGAGGATTTTAATTCCTGTGAGAGATAAAACTTCCTGGAGAGAAGGTGCAAAGGTTTGTAAAATACACAGGAGAAAGCGTAATTAGTTTCTGCATTCAAAAACTACATATTTAATGAGCTTGTAATATTAATGTGGAACATTCAATAGTAAAACAGGAGTAGCAAAATTTGTAGCTATATTTTTTTTCCCACTTTACCTTACGTGTTTGGGTGTTTAGTCTGCCTGTATATACACCATGTGTATATAGTGCCTGAGGAGGCCAGGAGAAGCTAGATCCCCTAGGGCTCTTTTTTCCACGTTGTGAGCCACCACGTGGGTGCTCAGAATTGAACCCAGAACTGTGGAAGAGCAGCCAGTGCTCTTAGCTGCTGCTCCCTGTGTCCAAGCTCCTTAATCACTGATGACTGGATGTAAACAGGCCAGCCAACTACGATTCATGCATACATTATTTATGTACGCACCTGTTTCTGTATACAGAACGCCTTCAATTTCTAACAATCTTCCTTTGAAAAACAAAATTGGCAGTGTCAAACACTCCTAATCTGAAGAATTCAGCCGGTTATAACGTTTTTAAAGCTCCCCCCTTTTGCCCTCCCTATCTGCCAAGCTTACTGCCAGAGATAACTGGTACAGTTTGTGGTTCCATCCTGAAACTTTGTATGCATATGCACGTACTTCCAAAGAAACGTCTTACAATTCTTCTAAAGTAGACTTCTTAGCATTTCAACATCGCTGGTCTTTGAACTTTGAACACCTTCAGTATCAGTATATCGAATTCTAAAACATCATTTAATCTTTCTTTATTGGTGGACAGATTATTTCTCATTTCCCACTGTTAAAAACGTTACACTGGTTAACAAATAACTTTGTACCTTCATGCCAGGTACCTAGAACCCAGGAGTCTGGATTCTAGAAATCCAGCAAATCTTTTGTGTCTTGAAAGACACTGACTAAAAGCTGTTTGGGGAAACGAAGTTTAAATCAGTGCTCTCGGGGATTAGCTGTTCACTACTGACCCCAGGTCTAATGTTTAGTCACCTGCCTAAAGGACCGAAATCCTTGTGGAAGTTTCTCAAACCTCTCAGGATTTCCAGACATTTGGAACAACAACAACAACAAAATCATCCTGGCTCTCGCTAAAAGGAACTGACACCCCCAGGGCCAAGCAAGAATTCTCCCAGGACAATAGGGAACTGTAATGTTAAAGAACCCCTGACGGGAGAGCGCAGCCAGCACGTGCATTCACTCGCGTTCTCATTAGCAAGGGGTATGCTGATTTTCAGTCCCAGCCTGTTGGGGGTGCCTGGAGCCCTGGGCAGGTCTCCGGGACGAACTCGCCGGCACCCGTCCCAACTCACGCCCCTCGTCAGATCACCCCAGAAGCCACGGCGCAGACGCAGCCCCTCCTCCTCCTCCCCACTTCCACGGCGGCGGGGCAGGGCGGAGCGGAGCAGCCGTACCTTCCGGGTCGCAGGCGGAAGTGGGCGAATTTGAATTCTGCGAGCCGTTGGATGGGGCCGTGCCGGGTGGGCGTACGGCAGCGCAGCGCTAGACGCGGGCGGTCACGCAGCGGCCCAGGGACATCTGCTCGGCGCCTGGTGAGGACCTGGCCGGGTGGGACGGAGGAGGGTCCCGGGCACGGTCGGCCGGGTGGGCGGACGCGGTGCGGGCTTCTCTGCGCTGCACGCTGCGCACGGGCGCAGCTGCAGCCCTGAGCTGCCGTAGGTGGGCGAGCTGCCCTTTCTTAATGAAAGACAGGAGGTAGGGGGCGGGTGGCACGGAGGGATGCTCGACGTGGCTCCCAGTGGCTCCTCAGACCGGTCCCCCGCACCGCAGAGAAATGACAGCCTTGAAATGCCTCGTGGGGATTTAAGGTGAAATCTGAGTCTCCTTTGTGTTTCAAACCCGGGTATTTTTCTTTCACGCTTTGACAAGTCTCGTGTACCGCAAAAATCTGAGCCTCTTGGCTCATTTGAAACTGGCTACAGTAACAGCGGTGGCTCACAGATGTGTTTGCTAACAATGGGGATAGGGGTCTAGCCTCTCCGCCTGCCTTTTCGCCCGCTTCATTCATTGGCCGACTATGTTATTATCGAATTATTTTAAGAGGAACTCAAGAATTGAGTTGTCGGGCGTTTTTGTTTGGCTTTTCTTTTTGTTCGTCTTTTATGGCGTCCTGGACTCTCACAAGCCCCGACGAAAACTCATACCTTTTTGAATAGCTCAGATGTGCACGGTAGATGTAAACTTTCAGTATTTCACATGTATAGAAGTTTCTAGATTTCTCCTTACTGAAAATTGTCAGGTTAGTTTTTGTGATTTGTAGGAAAAAAATACATAGAGATCCTTTCAAGGTTTTATTAGCAACTGGTTAGTGTATCATCAAAACATATAAATATCTTTTTAAAAGTGCCACTGACATCCAAAATAAAATAATTTCTTCACCCTCCTCCATCCTTGCTAATGAGTGTTGTTTTCAGTGTTCACCTGGAAGAAAAAAATTGAAATCGTTTTTTTGTAAGGTTGCCACAAAGATACTGTGTCTCCTTTCCCGAAGATTGCAGATAAATCTGCGAGCTTCTTACATGCTACCAGCAAGTTGCCTGTTCTAGATTTTCTGTGTCCTTAAAGTGCTTTTGCTCCCAGCCTCTTCCTTTGTTTTTCTTTTATGTGCATAGAGAAATGTCATACTTTACTGTGAGCATATTCCTATGAAGGCTCGGTGAATGCTGATGCCTGTACTTCACAGATTCTGACTGGTGGACTTGAATAATTGCATTTTAACAGAACAGTTAGAATATTCTGCAAGAGGTTTAAAAAACAGGTCTTCCTAGAAAAGCCTGGTAATGTTGCTTAAAGACATGCAGCAGGAACCAGACTTCTTTCTTAGTATCTCCCTCGCTTCTTCCTCAGTTGTGTGACCTTGACTGATTCCAGTCTCCTCTGTGTAAAATGAGGATACAAGCCTTCCTTGTGGGATTATTGTGGGAATTCAATGGACTGGTACATGTGTATGATATATGTAAATGAGACAGATGTCTAAAATATAGCTACTAAACATGGAACAACCATATTATATGTTTTTTTCCTTAACCTTTAACAATGTCTATGCCGGTACCGACAGTCTTCAGTAAGTAAACAAAGATCCAGTAGTTCTTATGTAACTAATTAAAGTTCCCAAAATAGATTTAACTAAGAAATTAAATTAGTGTGTGTGCACATGTGCATGCGCTTGCTTTATGGAGGTCAGAGGCATTGTGATCCAATATGTAGAGACCAAGAGACCCTGTTTCCTGGGGATTGTCTGTTTTGCGAATCATTTTTCTCCTACTACTCTGTCTCAGGCTTGGTGGCTAGAGCCTTCACCAGCTGAGCCATCTTCCTGTCCTGAGATAAAAATTTCTGCAAGGACTGCTTCCTGTCTCCTGCTGCTTCAGCTTATGAAACTGTGGTTTCCCATTTTCTCCAATATATGATCCCAATCTCCACCTTCTTTAAAAAACAACAAAAAGAACTCTTCTGCAGCCTGGCCGCAGACAGCCTGATTCCAGCCTGTTTTCAGGTGATACACAGTCTGTAAACAGCCAAATTTGAGACATACTGGAGAACTTTCAAATGAGGAAAAAGATCATCAGTATGTGTTCACATTTATGACCTACTAGCTGTTTTATATGTATTCGCACACTAAGCCTGATGACATTTTTGAACTGAGGTACCAAAATATTTAATAATTTTTAAAATGTGTTGTTTTATATTTGATGCTGTTTGTGAAAATGAATGATGTACAGTATAACTAAATAAAGGATGTGAGAGAACTCCAAAACAGAGAAGTTTGCTCTTCCTAACCACCTTGCCCACATTCTTTTCTGTAAAAACCTGTACAATAATGTTGGGCAATCCTTCTATGGACCAGGGGCGGGTTATCTGAAGCGTCAGATACCCCTTCTGCAGGGAAGGTGGTGTGCGTTTTTTAATCAGAACTTGTGTACCTTAAACAGTTTAGATCATCCACATGATTTCTTCTTGAATTTTTGAGTTGAAATACTACAAGGTTTTGGAATGCAAACTGCAGAGATCTTTTTGTGAGTTAGGATGACATTAGAATCCCAAGCAGTGGGCATAATATGTAGAGACCAAGGGAAGCTGTTTGCTGTATATGAAAATCAGGACACACTAGTACCTTGATTCATTTTCCTTTTAATTTAAAAAGATATCCCTAATACAAAATTTATGTGGTGATTCAGTTTGTAAGTAGTGAACATCGTCCTTCTTAGGGGTTCAGTTAAATGCAGTTTAGTGATCATATTCCATTGTACAAATATGCTACAATGTTGATGCATACTTAGGTCATTGGGTTTTTGGCCATTACAGAAAAAGCAACTTGGGCATTTGCTTCCATCCAATATTTGATAGAAATAGTTGTACATATAGCATTTTCTAGGTAAAATTCACATGAAATTAGCCATTGTAAATACACAGTTGAGTGACAGTGCGTTTATAAAGTAAAGCCATCACCTCGGCCTGGTTTAAAAACATACCATATCCCACCACGTAAGGTGGCCAAGGTTTCATGCTAATGAGCCCCCATTTCGTAGGTCTCATGAATTTTTGTTTTCTCTGTTGGTTACTCTGGCTAAGAATGTCAATCGTGTCGTTTCCAAGCAAATCATTTCTTTGAGTCTTTGAAGTGCATCATTGAGTTCTAATAACGTAAGCATGCATGGCCATGAGCTTCCTCTGCCTTTCCTGGTTCTCTCTTAGGGACTAGAGACCCCCACAGGGCTTGGGCCACGGAGCTAAGGCCTGTCCTGCTTTTACTGTTTCTTAAAGGTTCTGCTAAGTTATATTTTCATTTTCACTTGATTCTAATTTTTTTAATTTGAATTTTTAGATTTCATCATTCATCAATGATCTCATGATTCAGCTTCATAATTTATGATCTTTCCTTTTTTTTAAGATTTCTTCATGTATATGAACGTTTTGCCTGCTTGTGTCTGTGCACCACATGCCTGCCCCGTGCTTGTAGAGGAGTTAAAGGTCGTTGTAAGCCTTTTTGTGGGTGTTAGGAACTAAACTTGGATCTTCGACAAGAGCAGTGCTCTTAATTGTTGAGCCATCTCTCCAGCCCCCTCACAAATCTTAATACAAGTTAACAAAGACTTTCTTGTTTGTTTTTTTCTAGAAATACACTTTTATTTTTTGAGACAGGATCTCACTGCAGTCTTGGCTGGCCTGGAGCTCATTGTGTAGACCAGTGTAGCCTTGAATTCACAGAAAGCCACCTTCTTCTACTTCCTGAGTGCTGTTACTAAAGATGTGCACCATCGTGCCCAGCCAAGATGTATGTTTAGATCTGTGATCCTGTTTTTGGCTTTTGATGGCATGATGTTATTAAGAACTAATCACACAGGTCAGGGCATCAGGCCTTGCCTGCTGAAACATCAAAGTGAGGGTAAGCTGTCGGGGACTCCTTACTGTGGCACTATGGAACTCCGTTAGATAGTGATTCTTCAGAGAAGGGAAGAGTGACTGTTTTCTAAGACTGATACTGGGAATGCTTTCGAGATACAACTAAAAATATGTGGGTAGACTTGTTGAAAATAAAGTGATGGCAGCTGGGCGTGGTGGTGCAAGCCTGTAATAAGTAGTCTGTGGCAGGCTTGCAAATTGGATGTCACCTTGTCCAGTTTAGTCCCTTTCTCAGGACAAGGTGAAATGAACCCAATGGTAGAGCATTTGCCTAACATTTAGGGTGCCTGGGTTCTCGCCCTCATGTGAGAGGGAGATCCTAAATCTGGACTTAAAAAAGGAAAAGCGTATTTTGGGATCAAGGAACAAAAATTCTAATGTTATAAGTGTGAACTAGAGCTGGATGTCATTGCCGCTCTGGGGACACAGAGGCAGGTGGAGCTCTAAGATTTCAGGGCCAGCCAGGGCTACATTGTAAGACCCTGTCTCTAAAATAAAATAAAAGTATAAACTATACAATTGATATAATTTCTTCAAAATGTCAATTATTTGAGTAGCTGTTTTTACTTCAATCCTAGCGGGGGTGGGGAGTCACAGGATAAAAAAAATAGCAACTTGTGTATGCGCTGTCTTCATTCATTTGCACGGACCGGCGTAAAAACACGGTGTTCTGACTCTGCAGTAGAATCACAAAGCGGAAGAACGAACCAATAGGGTTTCTTATCGAACAAAACCAAATGACCGAAAGTACTGGTCTCCTGCTGCGTCCAATTGCATCTTTAGAGTGATGGCATTGATACGACGTGAAAAACTAAAGTTTGAGACTGACATACACTGGGTAATCTTAGGCTAACTAGCAGTGAGCAGGGAACCTCTGACAGCTTTTTTTAAAGAAATTTGGGTAACATGACTTTTTAAAGAGTTGGTCAGACATTTATGACATCATTCACCAAGAGAGATTCCATGAGTCTTTGTAGTAGGAAAAGGCCAAAAATATGTAACTACAGAGAAATTGGGATCTCGTTATAAAGAAATTGTATTCTAGAATCACTATATAGTCATATATACCAGTCACATTGAGCAAGTAATGATTTGCAGCACACGGGATGATGTGGTGATGCTACCCTCAGAAGAGGGCTGGGACTCTCAGGTGCTGGTGTATGTTTTAATAAACCCAACAGTTAACAATAGCTGGCTGGCATCCCTCACATTTGGGACAGGATAATGTAATTACAAGGGGACTTTAAAATACTTTAATATTTATTTAGGAATATGGGAATCCAGGCAATTCTCTGTTAGGTGGAACTTTTAGGTGCACTGCAGAGCATCCCACAATCCTAGTATTTGTTTTAATAATTAAATATTCTTTCCAGTGCTAAAGAAATCCTCAAATTCTCATACACTTTTTGATCTCTATTTGTTCTAAAAGTGAAAATTAACTACTATACTTTGCATGAAATGATTATAAATGATTTGATTGCAATCATGTACTGATTGAATTTAAGAAAAATGGTTAGAGATTTTTTAGATTAAGATTAATGTTCTTACTTTCCTAGTAAAATGAATGAAAATAAACCTGATGACTCACAAAATCTTGGTAAGTAACTATTTATAATATTTTTATTATAATAAAATTTATTTGAATAATATCTAGCCATAAGAATGACTATTCTGATCATGCTTAGTCAGTATGTTCTATTATGATTGTCTTCATTTCCACATATTGAATTTGCTACCAGAGACATTTATTTTTGACCAGAGACATTTATTTTTGTATATCTTATGTCATTTGTCAGATAGGATTTGAACTGTGAAAATTATTGTTTAAATTTTCCTTTGAAAATGAGGACAATATAAGCAATAGACAAAAGTCTTAACAAAAGTCTTAATCTCCCCTGTTGACACATGGTTGGTTAAGGAAAATTTCTCATTTTCAGCAATCTCCCCTGTTGACACATGGTTGGTTTCTTTATTCTAAGCCATATCTGTTGACTTGCTACTGCGAATGGTGAGGAATCCACATTATTGCTCTGCATACTTGCTACTCCTCTTTTAGGCTTTGTGGGGCTTTTGTTTTGTTCTCACTCTACTTGTCCCTGACTGCCCTGTAGCTCACTCTGTAGATTAGGCAGCCTTGAACTCAAAGAAATCCACAGGCCTCCCTTGTACTGGAGTCAAAGTTCAAAGGTGTATGCCATCATGCCCAGCATTTTTTGGAGGGTGGTTTCCAAGACAAGGTTTCTCTTACAGAGATCTCTCTGCCTCTGCCTCCCAAGTGCTGGGATTAAAGATGTGCATTGCCACCGCCTGGCTTTTTTTTTTTTTTTTTTTTTGAGATGCGTCATCTCACTGACTATTGAACTCATCCAGTTGACTCAACTGTCTGGCAAGGAATCCACCAGTTTCTGCCTCCTTGGTGTAGGAATTCTGTACAACTGAGTCTGACTTTTTACAGGTGTTAGAGATTCAAACTTCGATTCTCATGTGTGTGATAAATATTATACCAAACGAGCCAACTCTCCAGTTACCTTAATATCCATCCTCTTGACGATCACTTTTAGTCTTTCTGTTGACTCTACCTTACTTTGAACAAGGAAATTTGTTCCTACCAATCCTCTATCCCCACATACCTTTGTCTTTTCTTGCTATGCCTCCTGAGTTATATCAGCAATGCCAGTAGTTTAGAAATTGTAGTGATTTATGTAATACCATTGTACACTTGCTAAATATACCCTTACTCTGACTTGATTTCCCCTTGGATGTATACCTCTGGTTTTTTATTTAAATCAGTGTGCTTCATAGAAACCAGTATTTGTTCTGAATTTTTAAAAAGTAAATTTAATAAAGTACAATTTTAATGGATTTTAGTCTGCTTTAAAAATGAATGCTTAATGGAATATATTGGCCTTCGGGGCCCTTATCAATTTGAGGTCTTTCTAATGTATTGGTTATAAATGCACTTCAAGGCCTCCAGCAGTCAGTTTTTGTTTTCTTCGGTCATCATGAGCATGGGCATGTCCATGGGTGCACACCTGACCCCCTACTCTGCGGTATATATGTGAGCTTTTTAAAACCCTTACTCTTGTTTATATCCATTCTCCTCCACTTCTTTCCTAGTGTTTTAGTCTGCCGATTGCTTGCCCTAGACTTCTGCAGCTAATGTTCTTATTTTAACCATAAGAGAATTCTGAGTCTGGCAAAAACAAATAGGCATTTGACACCATCCCTTCGGGAGCTACCACATAGATCAAAACATAATCACACTTATTTGAGAATGAGGTCTGTATCACTTTCTTTTGGACTGTTCTCTGAAACCATAGACATGAACTACCCAAGACCCTTGTCCAAGTGGACAAAATTCTGCAGCTGGGGATTTGCAGTAGTGGGTAAAGTATTTGCTATGCTCGTTCTGAACGCCAGAACTCACATGAAGTTAAGCATGGTGGCACATTGCTGTGCTCCTGGTGTCCCTCCCTACAAGGGAATGCGAGGCAGAGACGGCCTGGTGTGTGCAGCAGCCGATGGCAGAAGGTACCCTGCCATAAGCACACTGGAAAGGGAGAGCTGAAGCACCCGAGGTTATCCTCTGACCACCATTCACACGTGGACACACACATCAAAGAAGCACTAATTCTATAAATTATTGTAATTTTAAGATAAATTTTATATTTACCTACTTTTTTGCTATTAGCTTGTATTTTCTGCCGAAAAAGTGATGACTGTCCCAATAAATACGGAGAAAAGAAAACTTACGAGAAATGGAATTTCAGTGTCCATTACTACTGTTTGGTAAGTAGATGCTAGTTCTGGAAATGTATACTAGAGAGGAAATAGATGACACTAAGAATTAGGTACATCACTAATAAGTGATTTTATCTATATAAAATATCATTTTTATATTGGATTTTAAGGTCCTGAGATTACTTGGTGCATATAAAGACTTATCCTTACCTGTTTTATCTTTCTATTAAAAAGGAGAGAATAGTTAGATCTCTAAGGGAAGTGCCCTTCTACTACTTTTTGTTTCCTTTGTTGCTAGTGATTTGTCTCAGAAAAGACTTGTTAGACGGCTCAGGCAGTAGAAGGAAAGTATTTTATTTCATAGAGCAATTGGAAGGAAAAGTTCTGACCAAAGGTCATTAATATTAGTAGAAAAGAAATAGGCGGTAATAGGATTTGCTCAGGGGAAGAGCAAAGACTTCACTTGTAGATGACTTCCCTTTGTTTCCCTTCGCTCTGCTCGCTTCCTATTTCAGAGAACTTGAAATGAAGCGAGTTCCTGGTGCCTTAGACCGTTAGTTTGCTACGGCTGCATCGAAACCAAGTTAGTTCTTTGTGAGTGCTATAGAAATTATTCCGAAATTTAACAGAGAAAAGCAATATTTATTCTCTGAATAGTTTTTGGCTGAGTCATTAATGTGACTCCAATTTAGATGTCACCCAGATACATCTGAAGGCTTTACTAAGAAGCTGGAGGGTTTCCCTCCAATGGCCGCTCATATGCTTTTAGTCATAGTTCCTTCTAGCTCCTTACTGCTAGGCTTCTTATAAGGACTGCTCACGGTATATCGTATGGGGATGGGGGAGAGAGACCCTAGATGAAACCATCACCTATCTAGTTTTCATTATCATCATCACTTCTGCTTTATTGTCTGTGTTATATCCAAAACAGTGGTTGTTTCAGGTGCTTTTTCTGTTGCTGTGCTGTGTCCTGAGCAACTTGAAGGAGGCGACTGTTCTGGCCCCCAGTCCAGCCACAGTCTGTCATGGTGGAGAAGGCACAGTGGCAGGGCTTAAGAGCTGATAAGCAGAGAGCAGAGAAATAAATACATACATACATACATACACACACAGAGCTCAGCTCACTTGAGTTCTTCAGGGTCCCAGCCAGGGAACGTTAACTCCCAGTGCACAGGTCTTCCCACCCAAGTTAGAGCTGTCACCATAATCGTCCCCTTTGACATGTAGGTTCTGTGACTGACAGTTAGCACCAGCCACTGTACTCTAGGAGTTCAGTATACTGGTAGATTCGTCTAAGAATCTAATCATTTCTCTGTGCCTTAAGAGAACATGAAGTTAGCATTGGAAAATTTCCACTTAACCTTTTATTTTTTTATAAAGACTTTAGAATTGTTTCTGTTAGTCATTTTCTTATACCCAAGTCTTAGACAAATATGTACTAGTTGTATTTCAGGATATTATTGAGACTAAAACTACTAATTGCAAACTCTGCTTTTATTGATGTGTTTTATATAGCATATTTACTAATATTAAAGCTTTAATAAAAGTCTGACTTTTAACATTATTCCTCAAAAGAGTACTGTATTAGTCACTGCTCTACTGCTGTGAAGAAATGCCATGAGAAAGGGAGCTCTTAGAAGAGAAAGCATTTAATTGGAAGCTTGTTTACAGTTTCTAGGTTTAGTCCATAATCATGGCAGGGTGCATGTGGCAGGAAGTCAAGGAGTTGTAGAGAAGTACCTGAGAGCTACACCCTGATCTGAACCAGCCGTGCACTTGGCTTGGGCTTTTGTTTCTTTCTTTTCTTTTTTTTTTTTTTTAAATATTTGTTTATTTATCATGTATACAATATTCTGTCTGTGTGTATGCCTGCAAGCCAGAAGAGGGCACCAGACCCCATTACAGATGGTTGTGAGCTACCATGTGGTTGCTAGGAATTGAACTCAGGACCTTTGGAAGAGCAGGCAACGCTCTTAACCTCTGAGCCATCTCTCCAGCCCCTGGCTTGGGCTTTTGAAACCTCTCAGCTCACCCCCAGTGACACACTTCCTCCAATGGGGCCACACCTCCTAATCCTTGGAATCCTTTCAAATAGTTCACTTCCACGTTGACTAAGAGTTCAAATATATGAGCTATTCTTATTCAAACCACCACAAATGCTGATCCTAGACTTAGCCTTATTAAAATTGTATTTTTTTATGAACAGTATGAAAATCCTCCAGCACTACAGCAGACTAGAGTGCCAGGTGTGGCTGATAAGGCTCTGTCTGACTGTCTGTTACTCAGATGTGTACACCGTTAACATGCAGTGTCTTCAAAGTCAAGTGCTGTTAATTGCCTCTTATTGGCCATGAAAAAAAATAGTAATGTATACATTTATTAATTCCAATCTTGTTTCTCGGAGTGCATTTCCTAATTGAGTATATATTCATAGTTAATGTCAAGTGGAATTTGGCAGAGAGGTAAAGAAGAAGAAGAAGTTTATGGCTTCCTAGTAGAAGACATCAAGAAGGAAGTCCATAGAGCTTCTAAACTGGTAAGTCATTGTTTTATTCCTTACACTAAATTCCACAGGTGCTGCTATTGTTGCCTTGGAAAATTTCTTTTATCAGTTCCTGTACTAGAAATTTATGGGTAAGATATTTTATTCTAGTGGACATTTTTATCTAATATAAATTTTGATAAAACATTTTTATATTTTTGTAGAAGAAAGTCTAACCTACACTGATTAAAACTTAGCAGTAGGGAATTTCTGGTCGTCTTTTTCATCATTTCGTTGACTTTTGGTTTTATTTCTGGTTTTTGAAGGAGGCCCACATGCTTTGCTCTTAGTCTCTTCCCCCCAACCCTCTTGTCTGCTTTCATTTATTCTATAAAAATTATTTTTATTGGCATATGTTAATTATGCATACATTGTGGAATTTTGGTTCATATATAATGTATTTGCCTCCGTTTCCCTCTTACTCATGTGGGTCCATTTCCACCAGTTCTTTACATTCATGTTCTTACTTATTCTTGTTTTTCCTGGTTACCTACTGCATTTTATTAAGATTACATAAAGCATCCCGGGTAAAGTTTATTTACAGGAGTTTGGGCTCCTTACAGTGGTATTACCACAAAAGAAAATCTTCCTTCTTCCTACTAACCATTAACTGCCTCTAGATACTCAGAAACGTATCTAAACTCCCTAGCTGCCATTATCTGCCTAAACACGCAGGGCATTGGAAGACCTACCAACTCCTTTCTCATACCATGGTAGGATGTTGACAGGCCAGGCTTGTGCTGTGTGCTGATGGTCACAACTGCTGTGAGCGCGAGGACATGAGCAATGCCATGTTCCAAAGGCACCATTGTACCACAGTCTCCATCCGTCTTATGTCCCCATGTTCTGTGATGTTCCCTGAGCCCACCCCCCTCTGGAACTATCTCTCTTACAGTTCCTGTCTTAGGGTAACTATACCTGTTATGAAACATGTCCAAAAGCAACTTGGAGAGGAAAGGGTTCATTGGGCTTATTCTCCCACATCAGTGTTCATTCAAAGAAGTCAGGATAGTGACTCAAAACAGGGCAAGAACATCAGGGCAGGAGAACAATGCAGGAACTATGGAGGGGACCTGTGGAAGCATGCAGGCAGGAGGTAAGAATGCAGGGGCCATGGAAGATTGCTGCTTACTAGTGTGCTCTGTAACAATGAGGGGACCTGCTTATTGGGGTTTCTGTCCCGCCTCGTACCCCAAAACCGGCAAGCCCCAAAGAAAATCACACAGAGAGTCTGCATTACTTATAAACTGATTGGCCCCTTAGCTCAGGCTACTTATTAGCTCTTATAGCTTATATTAACCCATTATTCTGATCTATGTTAGCCATGTGGCTCAGTACCTTTCACAGCCGGGGCAGATCACATGTTGCTTCTTCAGAGTCTGGGCAGGAGTGGGGGAAATGGGCTTTTTCCTTCCTAGCATTCTCCTGTTCTCATTGCCCCACCTCTACTTCCTGTCTGGTTGACCCACCTATACTTCCTGCCTGGCCAATCAGCGTTTATTTAAAACATGATTGACAGAATAGAGACAATTCTCCCACACCAGTGCTCCTTCTGGCTTGCTGCACCCTGCTGTTTTTATAGAACCCAGCATCGCTAGCCCTGAGGTGGCCCCACCCACATCAATCACTAATTAAGAAAATGCTCCATAAACTTCTCTACAGCTTGATTTTTCTGGAGGCCTTTTCTCCGTTAGGTTCCTTCCTCTCTAGCTTGTGTCGAGTTGACATGACAGTAGCCAGCCCAGTCCCCTTTCTTTCATTTCTGTCGCTTTCATACACTAAAGTGAAGGGTTTGCGTGTGAGAGAAGACACGCTGCAGTATGTATTCGCAGTTGACTTGTTTGCTTAGTGCAGTGGTTTCCATTTCTATCTGTTGTTGTGCAGTGACACCACTTTAGTTCTGCCCATCTGCAGGCCTTTAATGCAGATCCTCCTCACCCGTCTACCGCAGTTGCTGAGACTGGAATGATGCTAAGGTGGAAATTACACAACTGTGTGGACTGGTGATTTTCTTTTTTTTTGTCTCTAACTCTAATGATCTTTCTTTATGTGTCCTAAATTTAACTTCTTGCTTATTCAGTTGTTTTCGAAACTTCCATATGATAACTATGGTATCTGCAAGGAAAAACCTAGTCTGTATTTGCTCTGAGTAGAAATGATGGCAGTTGAAGACTGAAACGTTGAAAATACGAGAAGTTCTGAATGTGACACTTGAAATGATGATTTCCATAGTGAATAGCTTAGGAGATGTGATAATTTATCATTTTTTTTTCAAGTGGGGGCAAAGAACATTAAAATATTCAGGAACTCAGAGGTTGATACAAAAATGCTGAAACCACGAGTTGAAGTACAGAAAAAGCCTCTGGTTGGGGTTCCAAAGTCTTGAGATGGAGGAATGTGTGCCAGATGTGAAAATAAGGTGGATGGGAAGATAAGGCAGTGTCATTCATGAGGTTTGCAGAGGAAGCACACAAAAGCATTTATTTTAGTGGAGATAGTCACTTTTGGTGGTGAGTGGTTGGAATAAAAGGAGTTGATGGTAAAATAGAGTATCTAGGGCTCTACAGAAACATTGTATGGTGGTTAGCATGAGCCAAAAGATCAAGGGCGTTGTAGGAATTCCTACAGCCAGCAGCCTTTAAGTTACTCACCCACTTGGGCATGGCCTCTTATACTATATATGCTGATGTAAAACACACGTCAACGTCTCTTCCAACTGAGGGATTTGGTTGCTTTCCCCGTTCTAGCAGAGGACTGTGATCTGTGAATTTACCCCTAAATAAATAACCCTTTATTATACTTAATTCTGAGCTAGTGTGGGTTTTTTTTTTTTTTTTTTTAAGCGTCCATCTTCACAAGGGAGGATGCTATTATCAAAATTCCTTTACCTCTTAACAGCAAACTTGGAATTAGGGTAGTTTCCATTGCATGTTTCTTTAGCTACCTATTTTCTTAAAACATCAAAATCCTCTGAGTACACTGGGCCTTTGAAAGCATCTTGACCTGAGCAGGAGTCCTCCCAAACCCATGTACTGTAAGCAGAGGTTTCTCTCCAGCCTGCCAGTTCCTGGATAACTTCTCAGACTTGATACTAATTAGAAATATTTGGCTAATGGCTCATGCTTATTACTAGCTAGCTCGTACATCTTAAATTAACCTATGTTTATTAATCTATGTATTGCCACATGGCCAAGGTGTTTTCTACATGTCTTGCTTCCTCTTGGGTGGCTGGTGTCTCCCAGACTCCACCCTTCTTTGCCTGTATCTCTGCCAGTATTTCCCGCCTGGCTCTATCCTGCTTTGCCATAGGCCAAAGCAGCTTTATTTATTAACTAAAGAGAACAACACATTCACAGTGTACTGAAAGACCATCCCACAGCAACCTACCATAGGATCCTCTCTAAAATTGTTCATATGGCCTGGATGAACCCATGAGATGGCAGTGAGTCTATAATCCCTGAATCATTGACCATTATCAGGGTTTTCCAAGGTATTTTTAGGCTCAGATATATACTCGAATTACTGTCTTCTGCGTGTGCCACTATTATGGCACTATTAGTGACTTTGGTCTTATTTCCCGGGACTGTCATAAGAAATTACAGAAATACAGTTCCTCACGAGTTTAGAGTTGAATGTTACAAAGTATAGTGTTAGGAGATTTGGAGCTTGCTAAAGATTATGAAGTGAATTCCTCCTGTATGTTTATTCCCCTCCCTCCTGATGGTTTCTGGTAGCTTTCGATGTCCCTTGTTCACAAATAGTGTAACCCCAGGTTATCTTTTGTCTTCAAATAGCCTGTTTTATTAGTGTCTGGTGTAGATGGAAGTTTTTGTCCTACCTGCTCCCAGAGACATTCAGTCCCAAAAAAACACACAGGTTTATATTAAACTATTTGGCCTCTTAGTTCAGGCTTATTGTTTATAGCTCTTACAACTTAAATTAACCTGTAGTTCTCATCTGTGTTTAGCTGCATGGCTTGGTACCTTTTCTCAGTAAGGCATTCTTACCTTGCTTCCTCTGTGTCTGACTAGTGACTGACTCTCTGCCTTTCTTTCTTCTCTTCTCAAAATTCTGTAGTTTGGTTGCCCCGCCTATCCTTCCTGCCTAGCTACTGGCCAGTCAGTGTTTTATTAAACCAATACGAATGACAAAACTCTACAGTATACAAGAGCACTATCCTACAGTACTTCCCCTTTTTTTCCTTTTCAAAACAAGAGCCCTGAATCTAATCTCATTTGTTGACCATTATCTGTTGTAAGAGGAGCTGGTCCTTTTGTTCCATCTTGCCCTGCTAGTTTACATCCAAAATAATCACACAGAAACTGTATTCATTTAAACACTGTCTGGCCCATTATTTCTAGCCTCTTACTGGCTAAGTCTCACATCTTAGTTTAAGCCATCTCCATTAATGTGTATCGCCACTTGACTGTGGCTTACCGGCAGCATGAGTCTAACCAGTGTCCGTCTCGGGCAGGAGAACCATGGCGTCTGCCACATTGCCCTTCCCAGCATCCTGTTCCGTCTACTCCACCTATCTAAATTTTGCCCTATCAAAAGGCCAAGGCAGTTTCTTTATTCAACCAATGAAAGCTATGCAAATACAGAAGGACCTCCTACACCAATTATCCATAACGACATGTAACCAACACATGAAACAATGACAAACATCCATAATCCATTTTGGGGGGAATGTGTGCCTAGTTTTCTAGGCTACTACCTGATGATTGGGGACGCTAGTAATATTATGGGGACCCAAAGAAAATTTAGGACTATGGTCAAGTTCTGACTGGAGTATTCTGTGAGGCTGGATCCTCTCAGTCAGCCTTGAAGTTGTTCTAGAACTCAGAAGACTACTGCAACAGAGATAACTCTGAAATGTTGGTTCATCTGGGCCGTCTCTTCCTATTAGAGATTTTTCACGGAGTCTTCCTTGATCAAACCTTACTTTTTTTTTTTTTAACCCAGAATGAATCCACAGCCTATCATTTCCTATGGAAGCAAAAGCAAAACAAAACCTCTTCAATGTAACATATCTTTTGGCTTAAATTTTGAAGTCAAGGCATCAAAACATAGAGGTTTGATTAATCCAGCAGTGTTAATAATAAAATGTCTTTTAGCAGCTATTGCTCCTTCCTCAGCAGTCAAGCAATTCATAGACAACACAATAACATGCAGTAGCCATATTCTCCATGTAGTTTCCATCTTTATGTGGCTTTTTAAAACTCTAATTCTTTTATTTTTGTTTTTTAAGTTTTGGTTCTTAATACAGTGTTTCTCAGTGTATCTTTGGCTGCCCTGGAACTCACTCTGTAGACCAGACTGGCCTCTAACTCACAGAGATCCACCTGCCTCTGCCTCCCAAGTGCTGGGATTAAAGGCGTACACCATCACACCTGGCTATTCTATTTGTTTTTTAGGACTTTCTCTGTCTTTTTTCTTTTCTCTACCAAGCCTACATATACTCTTTTAAATACTGTATAAACCATTTAGAGAGTTTTTGGGGCTTTATTTATTTAGTCTTTATTGTATATCTCTTATCCTTTTGTGGCCATATGAATCTTTTTTTTTTTTTTTTTGGTTTTTTGAGACAGGGTTTCTCTGGTTTTGGAGCCTGTCCTGGAACTAGCTCTTGTAGACCAGGCTGGTCTCGAACTCACAGAGATCCGCCTGCCTCTGCCTCCCAAGTGCTGGGATTAAAGGCGTGTGCCACCACCGCCCGGCGGCCGTATGAATCTTTAGCCTGCTAAACAACATGGCTAGGATTAGTGGCGACTTTGGTGGCTGGCTCCGCCACTCCTTGGCTTCTTGAGAGTCTAGCTTCATGGTAGAGGTACTGGCAGGAGACACATTTATTGCCACAACTCTATGGAATTTCTAGGTCCATGCCAACACCAAGAAGCATGCTGCCAACTGCTCATAAACATCATTTAACTGTTTGGTAGCGGGGCCTCTTTAAAGAACTGTGCAGTTTTTTGCCGCTGATGCTAAGTCAGGAAGTCTCTCTTAAAGGAGGTGTGCCTCTAACAGAGCCTACCTGAGAAAATACTGCTACCAAGAAACCATGCTTGACTTTATTCTTTTGTGTCTAGAATCCCTTCTCAAACTCTCTCAGGTTTTATGTAGGCGTAGTTTCCAAATGTTGGGCGACATTTGTAGATGGAAGTCCTGTAGTCATTCAGTCCCAAAGAAACACACAGAGGTTAATATTAATTATATAAACTCTTTAGCCTGTTAGCTCAGGCTTATTAATTAGCTCTTACAACTTAAATTAACCCATAGTTCTTTTTTTTTTTGTTTTTTGAGACAGGGTTTCTCTGTGGGTTTGGCGCCTGTCCTGGAACTAGCTCTTGTACACCAGGCTGGCCTCGAACTCACAGATCCGCCTGCCTCTGCCTCCCGAGTGCTGGGATTAAAGGCGTGCGCCACCACCGCCCGGCTAACCCATAGTTCTTATCTATGTTTAGCCATTGGCTTGGCATTCTTTTCTTGCTTCCTCTGCGTCTGGCTGGTGACTGACTCTGTGCTTGCTCTTCCCAGTAGTCTCTAGTCTGGTTGCCCAGCCTGTACTTCCTGCCTAGCTACTGGTTAACAGCATTTTATCAAACCAGTATGAGTGACAAAACTTTACATTATACAAGAACATTATCCCTCGGCAGTCTTGTGTTTTAAATCTGCCTTCATAAAGACACTAGTCAAAGGAGACCTTAAGATCTTGAATAATTATGTCTATAAGAACTGTGTTTCTACTTCAGTTCACAAATACTGGCTTTTCTAAATTTTAGCATCCCTTAGGTGAGCAAACCACGCCAATTTCCTTTCCAGTGCTGTAAGAAACACCATAGTCAAAAACAGCGTGAAAGGGTTTCTCTGTATAGCCCCGTCTGGCCTCAGACTCAGAGATCCACTTGTCTATGCCTCCCGAGTGCTGGGATTAAAGGTGTGTGATAGTCATCGTCCCCAGCTAGTATATTTTACCTAAATTTCCATGTCACAGTCCAACTTGAGGGAAGGAACTCAAACAGAAACCTAGAAAAAGGAACAGAAGCAGAGTCCATGGAGGAACGCTGCTTGCTGGCTTGTTGCCCATGGCTTGCTCTGCCTGCTTTCCTATACAACCCAGGATTACCTGCCCAGCCACCATAGGCTGAGCCCCCAACACCAATCTCTGATGGTGAAAATGCCCCCAGAGTCTTGCCTGCAGGTCAATCTGATGGAGGCGTTTACCTCAACTGAATGAAGCTCCTTTTCTCTGAACACTCTTACGTCAAATTGACTAAAAAGAAAAGACCTACGCAGCACATATCTTAGAATTTTTTCATTTGGGTTAGGATAGAATATACTATTACTATTGCAATTATCTTCTGTCTCTCTACAAGGAATACTCATTAACTATTTGATTATGCTATTGTACTGATAATTTTAATATTCTCCTGTTTTCATATTTCTTTTAGAAGTGTGCAGTTTGCAAGAAAAATGGTGCTTCAATTGGATGTGTTGTGCCCAGATGTAAACGAAGTTACCACTTTCCCTGTGGACTTCAGAACGAATGTATTTTCCAGTTCACTGACAATTTTGCGTGAGTTATTTAACTGTTAATTAAGTATTAAATATGAGGGGCTGGAATGATGAGTCCGCACTGTCTGCTCTTCGACAGGACCCAGATTTTATACCCAGCACCCAAGTGGCAGCTCACAACTCTGATACTTCAGTTCCAATGGATCCAGCTTTCTCTTAATGGCTTTTGGTGTCACCTAGCCTGTAATTGGTACAGAGATGTATATACTGGCAAAACATCTTGTAAACATTTAAAAATTTTTTAAGTAAGAAAATATAAATGTTAAAGAACAATGGTAAATAAATAGCCCAAAGATATAATTCCCATGTAAAATTGCTTTTTAAAACTGTGCTAAATTTATAATACATACATAATATATATGTAAGATACATGATGTATGTGTATTTGTATACAATATTGTATGTATAATGCATGACTTCTTGGAGTAATTCTATCTGATCAAACTGCAGAGTTGCCATGTCTACAAAGGTCCTGAGGTTATTATTCACATCCGGCTTTCAACTCTAGAATGTACTAGGGCACACATTTGTTTTAGATGCATTTGTAAAACAAAGGAATTTTCTATAAATTACAGTGTTAACTGATTTATGGTTTTCTCCTCCTTATATATTTTTAAATAATTTCCATTTTTAGGTCATTTTGCTGGAAACATCGGCCAGTTCAAGCAATGACATCCACTATGTATAGAGACTCTTTACCCTGTACCATCTGTTTGGAGTTCATTGATCCTATTCCTACTTACAGTGTCCTGCGAAGCCCCTGTTGTAAGAATGCTTGGTTTCACAGAGACTGTTTACAGGTAATGCAGCTTTGCAATTTATGTCTCTATAATATAAAATCTGTTGCTTGCTTATTTGAATTTAAATCTGGTGCTGTCAATGTTATGGAATATCATAAAATATCAGAATTACTGTCTTAGAGCCTATTTTACTATTGAGAGTTCTCTTCTCAGTTTCCCTTAATAAATCTGTATTTGCTCTACTCAAACAGTATAATAAAAACCGAAAATGGGGTCAGAGATGTAGTTCCATGATAGACTGCTTGCCAAGAGTGCACAAGGCCCCTGGGTTGAATGCGCACTAGAAGCCACCAGAGTGCTAAACATTCAGCGTAATTGTAATAATGTCTTTGTTTGCAAAATTCTTAAATATTTTGAAAGTGATACCAATTATTTAGTATTTTATATCTAATATACATATATTTGACATATATTTAGACAAAACAATGCCAAATAACAAAAATTTACTTTTTAAAAATTGTTTTATAGAGCTGAGCAGTGGTGGTGCAGGCCTTAACTCCCAGCATTTGGGAGGCAGAGGCAGGCTCTAAAGCTACCCAGAGAAACCCTGTCTCACAAAATATAACAAAACAAAATATTGTTTATAAAGCTTAGATTTTATTTTATTTAGTAAAGTAAAATGTTTCTGGTTATTGTCCCTAATTCTTTTGAAAGGTATCAGGTGTTAAAGTGCTAGAGTAATGAGATATTGCAGCTTAACTGGTTGCTGCTGTTTAAAAAATGTTCTCTTGAACGTTAATACTTAGGTTATTTAGTTAAAAGTGGCAAGTTGGAGCCTATTTTGTTGGAAATGGTTGTAAGTTTGTTAATTCTCAAACACAGATGTGTGTTAGTAGTAGGAAGTGCATTAATGAAGGCCATCATGTTAGTAATAAAGCACAGAGAGGTCCTAGATTTGACCTAATGGTTTCATGAGTTTTAATAAAGACTTTGTCGTTGAAAAGTAGAAGCAGGGGGCTGGAATCTACCGGTCTGTAGAGCGCTCTCTCACCCACCCCCAAGCTTGTCTGTGGTGAGATGTAAGACAGACCTCAGAAATAATGCTGCTAACAAAAACCATACTGCTGTTTTTAAAAAACACATTTAGAATTCTGTCCACATAGAAACTTGACTATTATATGTCAATAAAGAGTTACTATTATAATTAGTTGCACACCAACTCTTCAGTCACTTTCTCTAAAAGGATCTGTAGAGACTCTTGATTCTAGAACTAAGGTCAGAAATAGACCCACTCTAGCTCACGGCACATGGTTAAACTATCACTTCTTACTACTTCGATTGTCACATAGAGAAATTTGGTGAAAAGAGACTGGACATTAAAATGGCAAGAATGGTGTTTACTCAGTTTGTATTTCTCATCAGAGTCCAGGTGTCTCCCACGCATTCTGTGCTTGCTGGTCAGTTTCATCTCTGGTTTCTTTCTGTGTGCTTTCCTTTGTCTACCAGGTACTTTGTATCAGATCCCATGGTTAGTAAGACAGCTTCTCTCTGTACCGATTGAGGTATCCTAGCAACATTTCCTGTGTGTGCCCAACATGTGCTAGGCGGCCAAGCTTCAGTCTTCTCTCTCTGCTTCTTCGCCATCCTTCATCTGTCCCTCAGCCTTATCAGTCCAACTCCTATTTTTGTGTCTTTTTCTGTTGTAACCGCTGTCTCGCTGCTATAAGCTACTTATTGTTCCAGATACTGTATTTCTTATCAGTTTACACTATCATTGAAGCTTTTCTTCTCCAGGATTTGATGCACCTGTTTGTCTTATTATGGCCAGAATGTCATATCAAACATATTATTAATTTCAGTATTCCTAATATCATGTTCTCTGTCTTGCCATGGAGACTTCCCTTAAAATGTCAGTACTTCCCTTACAGGGGAGAAAAAACACAGTTACAAATAAAAATAGTAATGCTTACATAATAATAAGCACTAGTTAAGTAACTGAAGATTTTTATTGTTTTTCCTTCTACTATGGAGGACAAAGCAATATTTAGGAAATGAAATTGTATTAACCGTCTGTGCTGGTTAGCTTTGGCAACATAACACAAGCTAGGTACACCTGGGAAGAGAGAGCCTCAGTTGTGGCTTTGCCTTCAACAGATTGGGCTATGAGCATGTCTGTGGGGCGTTGAGCACAGATGGTGGAGGAGGGTCCAGGCTATTGTTGACAGGGGCTACCCAAACACACTTGCCCTGGGTTGTCCAGATCTTCTAGGCTCCTACCCTGAATTTCTTCCCTCAGTGATGTGGGACCTGGGAATTGAAGACAAAATTCAACTCTTCTGAGTTGTTCTCACCCCTCTTTAATCATAGCAGCAGAAAGCAAGCTAGAAGAGTTTTCAAGTTGTAGGAAATAAATCGGGGACTGCTGAAAGGTTAAGAACTAAGTGTTTGTGAGACGATTTTTAAACAGAAGGAAGTGCTCTCCATGTTGAAGGTGGTTGCTTATAGTTCTAAGAGCCATTGGCAGAGAAAATATTTTCATGATAGAGTAAGGGAAAGATAGCATATGTTCTGTTAGTTATATGATTCACATCCTGATGAGAGATGCATTGCTAACAATAGATTTTCCATTTTCTGCTGTAGGTTCAAGCATTAAGTGCAGGAGTGTTTTTCTTTAGGTGTACACTATGCAATAATACCGACATCTTTCAGAAAGAGATGTTGAGAATGGGAATTCATATTCCTGAAAAGTGAGTAACATTTGGCTTTTTGACCAAAAAACATTTAAATGTAATATTTATTAATATTAAAAATAATTAATTTATATTTTAATAGTGATTGTGGCTAAGTAGCCATGTCACATGGTCAAGTGCCTTCTCCCAGGTGGCCAGTCTTGAAGAACAGGCACTATGGTATCAGTGTCTTATTAGCTGCTGTGTTTCTTAGTTTCTCAGTTAAGTCCAGTTCTGGTGATTTGTATAGCACCTTTAAGTTGGTATTCATAGATGACCTAAGACTGACTAAATGGGTTTAAAATGGAAAAGAATATTAGTAATGTCATAAGACAAGAAATCCCAAGTAGTGGTTATAAACTTGAAAGGGGATCCCAGTCCTTGGGAGGTGTCAGGTGTGCAGGCGAGCATGGGTTGTGCAGTGAGTTCCAGGCTCACCTGGGCGGGAGTCTTGGGTCAGGGTCAAAACAAACACACTTAATAATCCCAGCACTTGAGAAACTGGGGAAAGGTACTTTAGTTTGAAGCTAGCCTAGGGTATAACAACAAAAATTAGAAATGAAATACTAGAAAAAATACTAATACTAGGTCTTAAAAAGATTCTGTTTAACTTCTCACATAGTGTATGAAAGTTAGCTGTGAAAGTAACTGTAAGGTAAAGTAGCAATGGGTTTCTATGTTCAGGATCAGCCTAAGAAGGCTAACTTTTGTCCTTGTTTTGAAATTATCAATTTCGTTAGACCAACACGTTTTTATATCTTACTTCATTATAGAGATGCATCCTGGGAATTAGAAGAAAATGCCTATGAAGATCTGTTACAGAGCCATAACCGCTGTGATGTCCGAAGATGTCATTGCAAAAAGGGACGAGACTATAATGAACCTAATAGGTATTTCTGCGGCAAGTTGCATTGCCTTTAGTTGTTCTAACTAATACTGTAGATTATCTCGATAGTGAAATAGTTTTCCTCTTAGGATGTTTGAAGTTTTAGCTTAAGATCGAGTATGTTTATTAAGTATATATGTTTACAGAGAAATTTCTGTAATCAATATATTAACTTTTTTTAGTAAAATTTTATGAGTCTGTTCCAAGTTGAGGGGGTGCTATCAATGTAAATTACATACCACTCCTGTAACCAAGTGAAGACTGGGTGCTACTTTAGAGCTAGAAGTCCAAGACCTAGGGAACTCTGACATCATCTTCTTTAGAAGCTTTCCCTGGAGGTGATGCAGGTGGTTCCTCTTCATGTGTCCTCATTGTTGTCTCTGTTATCTGTGGCCTAATCATGCAATAGTAAAAATATGTTCTTGTTCCTGTTAATGTAGGGTTAACATAGAAAGCTTAGGATGCCGAGAATTTTTATCATGAAGTGATTCTCTTGTATCGACTCTTGCTTGTGAAGAATCATTGAGCACTGGCCAGCTTTTGAAGCTTACTATATATCGCAGGCCCCCTAAACTACATCTCCTACTTGAGATTGCTATCCTTTTTTTACCTTCCCTCATGGGACACATAAAGCTGTTACCTGGATGCTTGCTTTATATTTAACTGTACTCCTTTCATCCCACTAAGACAAAGGTAGTATTGGTAAATTCAACTTAGTGTAGTGTGGAGCATGGATCTAAAGCCAAGGTAACCTGGGTTGGAAACTTCACTCTAAGTATAAGCTTGGAAAATTAGCCTTTGGGATTAGTTTCCTCTTAAAGAATATACGTGATAGTGTTCTTTCCACTTTCAAAGTTGTAAAAGCTCAACATGTTATGTAAAGACTGAGAAGAGAACCTGGTCTGTTGTAAACTCTTCTTTTAGAGGCATGAGTATGACTGATTGTTTGAGGGAGGGGTCAGGTACCAGTGCCCACACATACGTGGGTTAGAAGACAGCTCCCTGGCTTTCCACCCATGTTTCCATATATTCAGGGAATGTATTTGTTTCTGTACAAAAGATTGCATTCTTGTACCCACACAGTGTGAAAGAAGCTTTGTGTCCAACACCTTTGCTTTCTACTGTGCGCTGGCCAGTTTTATGTCAGCATGATAGAAAATACTCTGAGAAGGGGGAACTCCATAAGTTCTCTTAATTAGTAATTGATATGAGAGGCCCACCCCATTGTGGGTGGTGTCATCCCAGTACTGGTGGTTCTGGGTTCTGTAAGAGGCTGAGCAAGTCACGAGGAGCAGTCCAGTAAGCAATACCCCTCTATGGCCTCTGCATCAGCTCCTGCCTCCAGGTTCCTGCCTGGTTCTCTCAGTGATGGTCCTATAAACACTTTCCTCCCCAAGTTAGTTTTGATCTTGGTTTTATCACAGCAATCAAAACCCTAATTTGTAGGACCTATGTGGAGACAAGGAGAGGGGAACAGAGATGAGAGAGAATATGAATATGAGCCAGGAACAAACTCTAGATTTGACTGCAGTGCACGAAACCTGATGTCAGAGCAATACTTATTTGTTTGGTTTTGGAAATACTGAACAGTAGTTTGTTTCTATGAATGTAATCTATCTCCAAATGTAAAGGAAAATGTTTGATCCCTATTATAAAGCTTTCGGATATTTATATTCTTTCTGCGTGTGTGTGTATAAATATATATATATATATATGTATATGTATGCATGTATTCGTTTAGGTTTTTAAGTTCAGGATGTGTAGTGGAAGAGATTATAAACATTTAACGAAAGAGAGAAAATACTTTAGAGTCAGATGTGATATGGCATTCTAGAACCCAGCACTAGGGAGGATGAGGTTGGAAGATCACTGGACCTGGAGTGCCTAGCTAGACCCTGCCTAAGTCACTCAGTACTTTGTGGAAGAAATGAAATCTTAAAGGTGTAGTCTTTCCTTCTGTTGATAGGCTGGTATGATGTCCGACTGGGCTGGACTTTAGGTGGTAATTTGAATGGCATCCTGGTCTCCCAGACATGCAAATAGACTTTTCTTTATGTCCTCAGCAAATGGGAAGTAAAGCGCTGTCAGTGTTGTGGGTCTAGTGGAACACATGTGGCCTGCTCCTCACTGCAGTTACTGGAACAAAACTGGGAGTGTTTGGACTGTAGAAGAATCAGCTACAGTGCAGGTAAAATCTTGTCGTTTTGAATAAAGTTGCTTTTGTTTAAGTGCATGTTGTTGAAAACATTTGCCTGTGTATCTGTTAAGCTAACCTCAGGATTTAAATATGTAGATTTCCGAAAGGCCCTCAAACACCCATTAGCCAACTCTACTAATGTGACAGTTACTGATTGCCTGTTGGAAGAGCCGGCATCTAAGCTCCCCAGACAGTCAGCTGGAACCCATCATAAAGAATTACAGAGGTATGCGTTTTAATTTTAGAAAAATACAAAAATCGCTATGAAGGAAATTATGACTTCAGGTGCCACACACACTTAGGATATTAGCTGATTATACAGTTGTTTAGAAAAATGATTTTTCAAGTGTAGGACCCAATATGGGATGGATGAAGTCAGGAAAGGTGGGAGGAAACAGAATACCTCAGCAATGTCACATAGCAGTGGTCTCAGCTGCGTAATGAATTTGAGACCATCCTGGATACCTGAGAACACATACCATAGAGGAAGGGAGGAGTGAGTGGGGGAGGAAAAACAGAAAGCACGGTCGCAGTCCACATTAATCAATTTTAGTAATTTTCTTATTTTGTACTTCATACTATGAATTAATTTTAAAGATATAAGCTGGAAAATATCTTTACAACATTATTTGATTTCAGACTAAAGCAAGAAGTTCCGTTTTTAAGCGCACAGTGTCCCTCTATAAAAACGTCCTGTTTAACACCAAGGTTGGTTTCTTGATGTTACAGCCATTGTTTACTTCATACACAGTTAATGTCAAGATACTCAAGCCAATAATTTCTCTTTGCTAATTCAACTGAAAAGCTCTCTCTAATAATTTGTTACTTTTAAATGAAAATGATTCATTGTGTTGTATTTATATAGTTTGAAAATAATTTTAATATTTAGATTTGCAAAGATGTTCCAATGTCCAGTCATGGCTTGAGGAGCAGTATTGATATTTCCAAGGATCAAGGAATCAGCTGCAATAATAAAATATGGCTGTAGTCTTTGAGCAGGACAGTGTTAGAGAGATGATCCGTGCACATTGAGTTTATTAGTTCTCCCTGTCGATGGAAAACATAACTCGTGTGCTTCACATGCACGCTCACCCACAGAGGTTCTGATTGTGCAGACTTGCCCTGGGGCTCACGCTTTGCCTTTTAATTAGTTCATAAATGATGCTGTTGGTCTAGGTCTAGACTACAAGATACATAAGGGAGTGTGAGTTCTGTTGATAATTTTAGCTCTATTATCAATTATAGCTGCACTATGGGAAGTACATTATTGCTGCAATCAGGTTGTTTTAACTAGTGGCCAGGAAGTTAAAATTTGAACTTCATACTCTTAAATTTGAGTCCACTGAATTAGACATTCAAATAATCTTCAGTATTCTTGCAAACGATTATAAATTGGTAGATGATTAGATTGGTGGAATTTAAAAGTAGATAATCAGATTAACATTTTTGGATTTGGTTCTAGTATCATCAAAAGACTATCTCTTTGAACTTAAAAACAGAACAAACAAAAAGTACTGCAACTTTAATGTCTATTTGTTGTTTCACATAAATTGCTTTAAAGTAATGTTCTTTATTCAAATTTGTGTTTTCTAGGCAAGGCAGCAAGTTTAAGAGAGACATTTCAACAATATTGGTAGAGTTAGGATTCCAAATTAAAAAGAAACCTAAGAGATTATGGATCAACAAAGCCAATGTGTGGAGGAGTGCCTTGGAGCAGTTCCAGGGTCAGAAGTTTAACCCTTCCTACACCATTGAAGTAGTATACGTTGATGAAAACGAACAATTTGGAAGAGAATATCCTGTATCAAAGCAGGAATTTCTGAGTCACTTAATGGAACATCTTGAGAATTCATCTGTGTTTGAAGGGTCTTTGTCAAAGAACTTGTCTCTCAATTCTCAAGGTAATTATTTATTATTTTATGATGGTGAAACTCTGTCAGCCAGTCACATCTAGTTAAGTTGTGGCTACCTGGAGCCCAGGAAAGAAAACTGGGAGGACCCAGATGCGCGCTCTTCCTGTGCACTCTTCCTGCGCGCTCCCTCCAGACAGATAGGAAGTAGGACCTCCCACTCTTACAGCATGAGTTTCCCCTTATAATCATTAAAATATAATTGTTATTCTTGAGCTGGCCTGGTTATTTATCGTACTGACCTAATTCGAACACTTATACATACTGCAGATAGCTTGTATAGCCAAAACCAGAGAGTTGGTTTTAATTATGATTCTTTAGGTATATCTGGAATAAATAATTTCCATTTGTTGGTGAATGAGAATTTGATATTTTTAAAATAAAGATTTCAGAATACCTGTGGTTGGAGAAATGGCTCAGTGGTTAAGAATGCTTGCTTTGCTTGCAGAGGACCTGAGTGCATTCCCAGCACCCACATAAAGCCGATCATAACTACCTGAAAGTCCTGGTCCAGGTGGTCCAGCACCTGTGCCCTCTTCGGGCACCCTCTACCCTTATGCACACACGTAGACAGCACATATTTTTAAAAAAGCAATTCTTTTATCTGTATTATAGTAATCTGTTTAATGATTTTGTAACTGTGTTAAACTTTATTTCTTGAATATCATTTGATTAGTGTCAGCAGATGAAACGGATAACTGTTTGGAGTCTTCTTGTACATTTTAGTTTTTTGAGACAAGGGTCCTTAATGTAGCCTTGGCTGTCTTGCACTTTCTCTGTAGACCAGGCTGGTCTTATTTAGAGATCGGCCTGCCTCTGCCTCCCAAGTGTTGGAATAAAAGGTGTGTGCCACAACACCTAGCCTTTGTTCTTTTTTATAATGAGGCACTGTGTGTGTGTCTGTTTACAACATGGAATTTGTGTTTAATTTTTTATTATTCATGTGTAACTTGATTTTTTTTTTTTAATGCACTAAGAGGCTTAGCCCAGAGTCTTGGAAACGCAAAGCAAGTGAGGGGCTGTTACCTTGGGATTGAGTCTTACATGTATTTTTTATATAAGGTTCCTCCCCCTTTTTTGCTTTTTGTTGTTGTTTGGTTTTGTTTTGTTTTGCTTTTTTGTTTTGTTTTGCGACAGGGTTTCTCTGTGTATCCCTGGCTATCCTAGAACTCCTCTGTAGACATGATGGGGCCTCCAACTCATCGCAGAGATTTGGCTGCCTCTGCCTCTAAAGTGCTGCGATTAAAGGTTTTCTTTTAAAAATTTCTTATGTTCCTTTCTGCCTTTGCTGAAATACATCTTTGGTAAAGATGTATTTTGGTTAAAATAAACACTTGAAAATAACAATTCAGTGTTTTTAAGAGTTTTTCCTACAACAAGGAAATTGAAAAGGAGTAAGATTTATTACATTTCAGTTTCTTCCTTTGTCATTAACTGAAGCATAATTATTTTTTCTATTTATAGTGTAAATTTAGTTCTCTGCCCTCCCCCATACCGTGCTAAATAGTTATGTTAACTCTCAGGGTAGCTTTGGCACAGTGTAAAGCACAGAAATGTACTCTAAATCCTGATTCAAGTCTTCCATTTCATTACCCTCTGTGTCTTTTCAGCTGTGGACTGTAGCTACAAATATGATTATTATCAAAAATATACTTTAAGTGTTAGTTAATAATAAATTGTTTTAAAGAACTATTAAAGTATAAACTAGCATTTATATATCTTTCTCAACCATCATAGTTGCTAACACATTGTGAATAGCCTATTTAAAAGGAACTTAATGCTGTAACTGTGTGATATGGGAGTAAATCTATAAACAACCTTAAAAATGTTCATATCCTTTGATTCCCTAATATCATATATATGAATTGATCTGATCAGATGATGTATTTGAGCAAGAATATGTAAACCGATAGTGATTGCAACATTATGTCTCACAGTTAAAAATGCCTTAACCTGGATAGCCACGAGTAAGGGATGCTTTTTTTTTTTAAAATATTTATTATGTATACAATATTCTGTCTGTGTGTATGCCTGAAGGCCAGCAGAGGGCACCAGACCTCATTACAGATGGTTGTGAGCCACCATGTGGTTGCTGGGAATTGAACTCAGGACCTTTGGAAGAGCAGGCAATGCTCTTAACCTCTGAGCCATCTCTCCAGCCCCGTAAGGGATGCTTTGTACTGTAGTCTATTCTAGTTTCATGCATCTAATAGCTATACTTTTTAACTAATTCAAGTTTCAGATCTAATATAGCAGAACCCAACGATGTTTAGATTTAATGACAAAAGTAAGCCAGAGGATTTACATTTATTGTGATACAATTAACTATAATCACATTTTTAAAGATTGTATTTTTATTTCATGTGAATGAGTATTTTGCTTGAATGTATGTGTGTATACCACTTGTGTCTGGTGCCTTCAAAGGTCAGAAAAGGATGCCAGGTCCCGTTGAATTGGAGTTACAGGTTATTGCGAACCACCATGTGTGTGCCGAAAGTAAAGTCGTGTCCTCTGCAAGTATCTTAACCGCTGAGCCATCACTGCAGCCTCTGGTTATAGGTAGTTTACTTTCCCCGTAGATTTACACTTTGTCCTATAATTGGTTATCTATATCCAGGGTGAAGCTATTCAACAGAGTTCTTGGGAAGGTCCATATACAGGATGGTAGTTTCTTATGGTTATTTTACAAGTACTTAAATTTTTTAAATTATTTTTTAGCTATTATCTATGTCTTCATTTTAAATGATGGATTTTTTAATTTGTTGAGTTATTTTTTTATCTGTATTTACAGCTCTGAAAGAGAACCTTTACTATGAAGCTGGCAAAATGCTTGCCATTTCCTTAGTTCATGGTGGTCCTTCTCCTGGTTTCTTTTCTGAGACTTTGTTCAACTGTCTTGTTTATGGGCCAGAAAATACCCTACCAATTTTAGATGATGTTTCAGACTTTGAAGTGACACAGATTATATTCAAGGTAAGAAAAAAAAAAGATCTGTTATTAAAATATAAATTATATTCTAGCTGCATTTTAATATAAGTAATGGCTCTGTTATGTTTACCCAAAGAGCTCAGAACCAATTCAGAAACCAGTCTGGCCTCTGCATGGTTGAACATGTCTATACAAATCTCACCATTTAAGAGTTGAATTTTAAGAGCTACAACTTGAGATCCTGTCTTGTAACAAAAAAGAAAGGTAAGAGTCAGCTAGATAGAGGTGGACATTGTGATAGGTTCCATGGTATTTAATGTTGTATAGATTTACAGTCAGAGTGGCCAAGACTGGATAGATAGTCATGCAAGTTCCATAATGCATCCTAGAAGCAGATAAACTTTCCTTTGTAAGGGGAGACCTGAGGATAAGGCTTTGTCTGACCAGTCAGTGTTTGTCAATCCTCATGTATATGATGAGGAGAAATCATATGATTCACTAAAGGAACTGAAGTGATAGAGTATTTATGTTTTTTTTTTTTTTTCTGGTTGTTTCGATCTTGATGGACAGCCCTTGATGGCTTGGAACTCCCTATGAAGAGTAGGCTGCCCTCAAAATCAGAGGCCCACCTGTCTCTGCTTTCCTGAGCGCCGGAACTGAAGGAGTGCCGGCATGTCTAGTGGGCCTTGAACATAGCATCTTAAAAGGAGATGCAGTTCCATTTGCTTGCCCGGTGATGTCCAACTCATTTAACAGTGATTGTCTCACTTGAGAGGCAGAGAATCCTTTCGTTGTTCCGTACAGAAAGGTTGATGCCTTAGTCATCTGATACTAGAGTCCTTTGGGTTTTATTTTTGATCTAGGTCCTCTGTAGCCCAGGCTGGTCTGACCTCTTAATCTTTTCCTCAGCCTCCCAAGTGATGGGATTTTAGATAGGCATGTGCCACCAGGCCTTGCTAAAATCACAAGTATTTTTTCCAACGGTTTCCTTTTTTGTTATATGTGTGCATCTCTCTATGGGCTGTGTGTGTGCCACCCAGTGTGGGCGCTGAGAGCAGAACTCCCACCCTGAAACAGCAACAAGTGCTCTTTAGAGTGAGTTTGCCAAGCCCGGCATGTTTCTGTTTTTACATATATGTGTATGTTGCATGCTGTAGTGGCACACATTTGGAGGTAAGCAGTCGATACAGCTTTTAGGAGTCAGTTTTCTCCCTGTACCCTGGGACTCGGGATGGGTTCACGTCTTTATCCTTGTGTGGCAAAAGATTCCATCTGCTGAGCCTTCTTGCTGTTATAAGACAAAAGCTAATTACTTGCCCCAGTCCAAAGATTTTCTTTGCTTTTTTTCTCAAATACTTATTTATAAGAAAAGGGAGCATTTTCATTCTTTCTTATTATATTTTCCCAAGTATATCCTAGTTATTAGTATATAAAAGTGGCGTGTCTGACTTTTATTATTTCTAGTGAGACTATATCAAACTCGGATTTTTTTTCTAATATTTCTTCTACTGATTCTTCCAAAAGTTCCATTTTGACTATATCCTGTTTGCTCATTCATTTAGTTATTAAATGCTATGAGAGCTGAACTGGTTTATCATTGAAGACAGAATGCTGAATTAATAATATCTTGATCTCTGAATTCAAGTTGTAGAAAAAGCACAGAAGATGAGCATTAATGTAGTATACTGCCATACAGTTTGACAGTGTTTAGGGTATGTATAAGAATGCATAGATGTTTAAAATCTGCAAATTATAGCCTGTAGTATGGATGTGGCATGTGTTCATGCCATAGTGCACATGTGGGTGTCAGAAGGCAACCTGTGCACGTTAATTCTTTCTTTTTTTTCTCTTTCCATCATATGGTTTCCAGGGTGGTAAAGGACTTGTCTAATTTATTTCTGGGCATAATTTTATTCCACCCTGTTGTCCTGAAGAGTTGAATACAGGACTGGACGGATGGTCCAGTAATCAAGAGTGCAGGCTGTGTTTGAGCAGTTGCTGCTCACCTTCGGTTCCAGCTCGTGGGAGGCCGTGGTGGGCACATCCTGTACTCGATCAGCTGCTCTGCATAGAGAAGTCTAAGCTAGCCAAGGTCTCCAGTTAGACATTGTCTCAAAAGACACATAAAAAGACATGGTGCTGTTTTTAGCAGAAGATCCAGATTAATTCCCAACATTCATGGCAGGCAAGTCACAACCACTTTAAACTCCAGATCCCCATCAGCACCTGTATTCATAGAAACCCACATACGTACCCATTTTTAAATGGAATATAGAATATGTATCATCTTAAATTTGGTCTCATTCAGAATAAATGTTTCTTCTCCTGTGTTACAGATAAATGCTGCAGCCGATATGAACAGCTTAAAGTCAGCAATAAACGAATGCTATAGCTACCTAGAGAATATTGGATGCTTAAGACTTATAACAACATTCAGTGATAAATACGTGTTGGTAAAAGACATCCTTTTCTACCATGTTATTAAGAGAGTCCAAGAACCCTTGAAGAGGTAAGTGGTTTCTATGTTAAAGATTCTATCAAATTTAATTTAAAGTGGTTTTTGGTAATAAACATGAATTTCTAATTTCAGAGAATGTTAATGCTATTTAAAGTGACACTTTGTAAAGCTTAGCCTCCACCACAAGTTCCGCTCTACTTCTGTTCAGAACTCATGAATGCGGTCTTCAAGGAGAAACAGTCAGCTCTTGAATTAGTTGAAGTTTTCTAATGGAAACTCACTGTAACCACTTGAACTGCTCTGTCTACTCATCCATGTGATGACGGTTGGACTCCGTCATCTTCTGGTAACATAGTACTGACCATTCTTTGATTGAAATACTGTAGTAATAAGGACCCCGGCTGCCTGGCTAGCTTATGCCCGAAATAACAACACACAAACTGTATTCATTTAATCACTGCTTGGCCCATTTCTATCTACCCTCTTCTAGGCTAATTCTCACATATTAATTCAGCCCATTTCTAATCATCTGTGTAGCGCCCCTAGGTGCGCTTACCGGGAAGATTCTAGCCTATGTCCATCCTGGGTTGGAGCTTCATCGCGTGCGTCTGCCTGGGAGCTGGGAGCATGGCGTCTCTGTCTGAGGTCTGAGGCGTCTTACCTCACTTCCTCTTCCTCCCAGCATTCTGTTCTGTTTACTCCACCCACCTATGTTCTAAGCTATGAGCCCAAGCAGTTTGTTTATTACTTAACCAATGAAATCACCAGATTGATATATGACATTCCCACATCAAAATACTAAGCTGATTCTTGCTCTTTCTGAGGGGATTTACACACACACACACCACACACACTATATATATATATATATGGCTGTTTCCCTGCATGTATGTCTGGTGCCCACAGAAGCCAGAGGAGGGAAGGAAGTTTCAGACAGTTGTAGTCTGCTGCCCTGTGTGCACTGGGAATTAAGCCTGGTTCTCGGGAAGAGCCATCTCTCTAATTCACTCTTCAGAGCATTACTCTTAACCTTTGTACTTTCAAAAACTTGAGAGTTCTCAAGCTCTTCCCAACCTCCTCCTTTTTCAGATGGGATCTTTACTTGTTATGTTGTGTGTGTAGACTAGACTGCCCTCAAACTCAGATCCCGCCACCTCTGCTAACGTTTAAGGAAATGTGCTTCTACACCTGGCCAGAATTCCTTTTGTATTTTTTCTTCCCTCATGTGCCCTGACTGCAGTTCTTTCCCTTCTCTCCTCCCTGCCCCTCCCCATCTCCCCTCTCCCCCAGATCTTCTACTCTTCTTCCCTTCATAAAAGAGCAGTCCTCTCACAGATAACAACCAAACACAACATAACAATAATAAGACTGGGTACACACCTCATATCAAGGCTGGATAATGCAACTCAGTAGGAAGAAAAGGGTCCCAAAAGCAGGCAAAGGAGTCAGAGATAGCCCCTGCTCCCACTGTTTGGAGTCCCACGGGAGCACCAAGCTGCACAACTATAAAATGTTTGCAGAGGACTTCGCTCAGACCTATTTAGGCTCCCTGATTGTCAATTCAGTCCCTGTGAACCCTGATTAGTTGATTTTTGTGAGTCTCTCAGGATTGCCTGAACTTTGCCTAGCATTTGGCTGTGGGCCTCTGCTTGTGCTCCCATCAGTTGCTGGATGAAGCCTCTGTGACAATTATCCTAGACTCTGCTCTGTACCTAGAAAAGTAGAAAAGCATTAGGAATCTTTGACTTTTTTCCAGTCTTGTTTTATCCTGTCATAGGTCTCTGGGCTGTTCAGCCTCTGGTTCCTGGCCCTCCAGGCAGTGTTAGGTGTGGGTCTCCAGGTGGACCGTTCTTTGGTGGCCACTTTTAAAAATTCTGTGCCACCTTTATCCGCACACATTTTGCAGGCAGGGCAACTGCAGGCCCAGGTTTTGTGCCTGGGTCAGAGTTTCAGTCTCTTCCCCTAGAAGCCTTGCCTAGTCCCTGCAGATGCAGGTTCAGGCTGCATACCTGAATTACTAGAGTCTTCTAGAGTCACCTTTGTAGATTTCAGGGGCTTTCCATTGCACTAGTTCTACGGCACTTCTAAAATGTCCCCCAATTCTGGTCGTCTCTCCCAGAATTCTCTCTCCAACCCCCCTCACCTAATTCCTTCTGTTTCCATCTCAACCCACCCCCGTAAAAATATTTATATGGATGTTCCTGAGAGGACATTTGTTTGTGTACCAGAGCCACAGAGGTCAGAAGAGGATTTTAGATCCCCTGGATTTGGTGTCATGAGTACTGGGGACCAAACCCAGGTCCTTTGCAAGAACAGTAAGTCTTCTTAACTGCTGAGCCATCTCTCCAACTCCTTCATTTAAAAAAAAAAAAAAAGTAAATATATTTATTACACACACACACAACCACCCAAATCAAACACAAAGTATGTCTATCTTGTCCAGCCTTACCATTCTTTTGGCATTGAGTCTAGTATTGCTTTTAAACAAATATATGATGTATCTTAATCAGTATAAATATGTTTGTTTATATTTTGAAGCTATTCCTAGGATTACTAGGACATTCCTAGGGACATGTTCTACCATGTCCCTCTAAGCTTGCTTCTTTTGAGCTCTTTTAATGTTTGATGCTAGCTTTTCTAGCCAGTGTGACAAGATTCTTCCTTCTCCTTTGCTTCTTTTAATGCAACATAGCATCAAGGTGTGAGCCAATACATTTGGCTTTAGCTACTTTTCCTTCCTTCCTTCCTTCCTTCCTTCCTTCCTTCCACCTACCTATCTACCTACCTACCTACCTACAATTTGGACTGGGGACTGGAGAGATGGCTCGGTGGTTAAGAGCACTGGCTGCTCTTCTGGAGAACCCAGGTTCAATTCCCAGCACCCATATGACAGCTTATAACTGTCTGTAACTCCAGTCCCAGGGTTCTGACACTGTCACACCAAGCCACATAAAATAACAACAACAAAAGCTAGGCTGGTCTCCTACTCCTTACATTGGATAACTTTGAACTGTGTTGCCCTTTCTTCTACCTACAAAGTGCCAAGATTACAGATATGTGCTGTCAAATCTGGTTAATAATCCCAATTCAATCCTAATTCTTAAGGATACTATAGTATTATGGGCTAGAGCATTGATTCTTAACTTTTCCTGATACTGCAACCCTTTAATAGAGTTCGTCATATTGTGTGTTATGACCATGTCACAGGGTCCCCCCAAAACCAACTAGGAGACCAAGTCCTGTATATAAAAACCAAGATCATTTATTCTTACACAAGTTCTTGGACTTTGACTCTCCGTGTTTTCAATGTATTGGCTTGATTGAAGAGCCCTACTCAGTTGGGGTGGGGTTTTTATAATAAGCAGAGGTTGGGGTGAGGGATTTCTAAGATTCAGAACCCCTGATTGGCTGGCATTTGTTAGGGGTTTCCTGGTGAAAAGGGAATGGGTGTGTGATGGCAGTTGATCCTATCTACAAGGTTTGGAACATCAGGAATTTCCTTTGGATGGTCTGATGGTTCCTAGGTGGTCTCAGTTTGTGGTCTTTCTTGGAACCAGGTATTGCCTTAGGGTAAACTACTGAGACTCTATTGAGCTTATGATTGCTGGGTCCTACATTGGTGACCTCCAAAGAAAATTATTTCACTGCTACTTCATAGCTAATTTTGCTATTGTTGTGAATTGTAATGTCAGTATCTGATGTGTAGGATGTCTGACATTTGACCCTCAAGGGTGGCAATTCACAGGTTGAAATTGCTAGATTAGAGACATGATTCAGCACTGGCCCCTGAGCACTGTGAGTGTATGGTGGACAGACATGCATTGAGGCAAAGCAAGCCATACACAACAAAGGGAAATCTTTTTGAGATTTTTTTTGTTGTTTGTTTGTTTGTTTGTTTTTAAATGGATACTGGGGAAGTAACAGTACAAAATAATTACTTGCTTGATTTAATTCAACATTTCATAAACAGAAGTCTCAGAAACAATAACATGCTTCCGATGTGAAGACCTGCTTTGCAAACTCTAGCTTCATCTCATATATTTATATGAGGGGATGATCTGATCTCAGCTCCAGAAATGTGCTGTGTTAACAGAATTTGAACGGATACCCTGAAAATAGTCAATTAAGGAGCTGGGGAGCAGGACCATAAAATTTAATGAGGTCCAGATGCTCCTGGGTGACATCCTGTCCTTGAAGATACCTTGTCAGTAATTTGTGGCTCTTTGTTAGGTTTTTGTGCCTAAAACAGACCAATGGTTTCAGAAACTACCTTATCCTATGCTCTCCTTATCCAGTCCCAAGACAACAGACTTGAACTTCCCTGATTACGGCGTTTCCCCTTTAAAAGTTCTACCTTTCCAGGGCTCCCCGCCACACTTTCTGCATCCACCATGCTGGAGTGCTGGAAAGGTGTTGGTCCAAACTTGAGTTTACCTTTGTTGTGGTGCCATTTATTCTACGTGTATTTTGAAAATATCTAAACTTCCCTCTTGTCCCAGCTTGGTTTTTTTGGTTATTTTGTTTTGTTGGTTTTTTTTGTTGTTGTTGTTTCTGTTTTTTGTTTTTGCATTTTTTATTTTTATTTTATTTTTTTTTTTTTTGGTTTTTCAAGACAGGGTTTCTCTGTGGTTTTGGAGCCTGTCCTGGAACTAGCTCTGTAGACCAGGCTGGTCTCGAACTCACAGAGATCCGCCTGCCTCTGCCTCCCGAGTGCTGGGATTAAAGGCGTGCGCCACCATCGCCCGGCTTGTTTTTGCATTTTTATATTGACCGCAAATTAACAGTTACCGAGCTTGGAATTTATTTATTTATTTATTTATTTTTATTTTTTATTTTCTTGGTTTTTCGAGACAGGGTTTCTCTGTGGTTTTGGAGCCTGTCCTGGAACTAGCTCTTGTAGACCAGGCTGGTCTCGAACTCACAGAGATCCGCCTGCCTCTGCCTCCCGAGTGCTGGGATTAAAGGCATGCGCCACCACCGCCCAGCGTGCGAGCTTGGAATTTGTAAGATCATGCCAGTTATAAGGAAACGAGCCATAGCTTTATATTGATGTTTCTACTGCCCAAGCTCAGTGGGAATGCTGAAGGTAAAGCAGTTCTCACATTCAAGTGCAGAGCAAGGGCCGGAGGAAGAGCACAGGAAGAATATTGTCGCCCTGATTGAAAAGGAGAAAACCAATGTAATAGAATGTATCAGATAGTATGTCCAGATCAAAAGTGATCATAGACTTCTGTCTTCACTGAGTTTCTTGTCTTTGTTCCTGCTGAGTACAATTTAAAAATCTATATACATTCTGTATAAAACAAGATGTCTTCGAAAAGTGGAGAAATAAAGGCACTTCTTAAAATTTTATAGTCCTGGTGATCCACCCTAGGACCTCAAGCATGCTAATCAAGGTGTGTGTGTGTGTGTGTGTGTGTGTGTGTGTGTGTGTGTGTGTGTGTGTCAAGGTTCAGGGTTTCTCTATCAGTAAGGTTTTACCATATGGTTGGGTAGGCAACCAAGAGCAATGTCAAGAGTCACCCTAGCATGGGAATTACGATTTTCTTTTAACAGCCATATTATGAAGGAGCAGTTTGTCAAACTATGATAGATAGTATTTGCCACTTTGAATAAAATACAGTTTTTAAGATAGTGATTTAAAATAATCATTAATGCATTTCTTCTTGATGAGAAAGTATATTCTAGTAGTTTATATCTAAATGCATGTAGTTTTGTGGGACTGTTTTCTTTTTTTAATCAGTTGTTTATAAAATGCCAGATAGATTTATTATAAAACTTGTATGTATATATGTATGTATGTTTGCTCATTATTTCTTTTCTTCAGTTTTAAGCAGGGTCTGAAAATACTTGGTGCTTTAGAGAAGATTCAAGCTTACCCAGACGTATTTCATAAAATCCTCTGTCGTAAACCTGAGAATCTCTCTGCAAAAACCCTTAGTGATCTTTTCACAGTCCGTGGATTACCCAATGGACAGACCTTGAGGTTCTGGAACAGTTACTTACAGGCTGTAGAGGGTATGTGAATTCTTTTCAATGTTTATTAGGGTTTTGCTCTTGCCATTAAGAAGACTTAATAAGCTGTTATTTGTGTTTGCAAAGGAAACAAGTTATTCCATACATATCTAACACACACACACCACACACACACACACACATATAGTTTAAGCTGGAAAGTGATTTTCTTTAAAAACAAAAAACAAGCAAAGAGCAGGCTTAAAGATCTGTACTTAATCTTTTTTAATTTAAAGTCAAATTGGTGATCATAAACTCTCTGCTTTATCTACTGCACCATTAGTATTTGTCAGCATTAACTGTATTATTCCATTCTTTAAAGGGAATTTTAACTTTCAAGTTGTAATTTTCTTACATATAGTGTTTGCTTCAGCATCTGTTAATTATTACATAAATGAGGGTGGGCTGATTGGTTTTCCTACACTGAGATTCGCTTGCTGACTGTACTGCTTAACATGCTTGTCCTTGGTGGATGCCGGACTCGATTACTGTCAGTCCTCGCAGTCTGATTGAGAACGTGTCTAACCAACAATAATATGTTTTGTAGGTTTAATTTTCTTTTCTCTTTAATTGCTAACTTTTCAGATGGTAAATCTACAACTACAATGAAAGACATTCTTATTTTTGCAACCGGCTGTAGTTCTGTTCCACCTGCTGGGTTTAAGCCCCTTCCTTCAATTGAATGTCTCCATGTGGATTTTCCTGTTGGAAACAAATGTGATCACTGCTTAGCTCTGCCAATCACCAACACATTTCAAGAGTTTCAAGAAAGTATGGATTTTGCCATAAGAGACACTCTAAGACTAGAAAAGGAAGAAGGGTCTCGCTCACTTTCATGGACATAAATGAAGAGATGCTTCTTTAAAGGCTGCTATTGATAAAGTTATTGCTATTAATCATCGCTTTTGAACATTCTGGCCAGCTTCTTGGCTCACTAAAATTTATGACTCTCTTATAAAGGGATGTTTTGGCTTCTGAACCACTGAAGGTTCGGTCAAGACATTCTAGTATCCAGTGATAGCTTCCTATTACTAGGCTTTCTTCATAACTTCAATATGAATGTTTTTCGAATGGTTGTGCAAACTATTCTGCTGTACAGGTGCTCAGCTATATTAGCATGACATAAGAAAAACCTGTTCCCTTGCTTTTTCAATTAGGATTTACCTTTATAGAATGACACAACTTTTGGAGTTTTCGTTTTTTTTTGTATGTTTCGTTTGTTTTATGTTGTTTGTTTTTCTCTATGTTGTCTGGTTTTCCTGGAATTGATTATGTAGAAAGGCTGTCATATTTCTCTATTTTAAAGCATTAAGTAGAAAAGTTAGAAAGTCATCTCATATATCAGAGCTATAGATATGCTTTTCTAGGGTTTAAGTTTTAAATGTTTCTGTATTATTTTGTATTTTGTGAACAATACAACAAATAAGGACTCATTGAAGGTCCTATATAAGGAGCAGAGCTAGACAAATAACTCTGGAGTCTATGGGTGCTCCATAGGCTTCCAAGCACTGCTGCTGGCTCTTCAGTTGTACTTCTGAGTACGTTAGGATGTACGTCTCATTCCGTATGTCTCTTGACTGTCAGGTTTGGCTAGATTGCAGCTATTTATTATCAAGACTGCCCTATGACTGGTAAGATCTCACCACAGCATTCCATAGTTAACCTTTGCTTTCAAAAGATACATTGTATAAGCAATGAATAAATTATAATTTAAAACTTCAAATAGTTAAAAAAACACTCTAATTTTGCCACATAGATATAAGTAATGTATTTTGTATATTCTTTATAAACTATTTATTTTTCAATCTTTTATTGCTTTGCGGTAGGGTCTGTCTATAGAGCCCCACCTGTTATAAATTTGCAATCCTCATGCCTTAGTCACTTGGTTGTTGGGGTCATGATGTACACCAATGTCCCCAGCAGTGGTTATCTTTTGATTGTATGAATCTGCCACGAGCAACAGGGAATCATGTTCTTAATCAGTTCAAGGTATAGATAGTCTCTAGCAAGGTATCATGGCACATACCTGTAATCCATGCTCTGGGGGTGCTGAGGCAGGAGGATCAGGAGTGACAGAGCAAGGTCAAGAGCGTTCTTGGCTACATGAAACCCTGCCTTGACAAACAGCTAAGCAGAGTTCTTGGCTACAGGAAACCCTGCCTTGACAAACAGCTAAGCAGAGGAGCCCCTCCTAGTACCACCTTTATAGCTGTGGCTTTGCAAATCTAGTGCCTGGATCTGTTAGCGAGGATAGGGAAGACAAAGCCCCAAGTTTCAGTCCGAAAAATCATGGGAGGTTAAGAAAAGAAATCAAATTTTTCTTGATACACATAGCAGGTGTCTGCTCTTCGTCATGTACTGTTAACCCCGGGAAACACCTTAAATAATAGGATCTTAATGCCAAAGGAAAAAACCCAAATGTAATCACTGTGTCATTTTTGTTTGTTGCTTCAGTACCCTTCAAGTTGTACTTAACAGAACTAATAAAGTTCCTTTCTTTTTTTTAAACAAGCATTTAGTCTTAAGGCATTTCTTTATTTTGTGTTACATTTTGCTAGATTTTCAAAAGTAATTTAGTGATCCATCATCAATTCAAACCTCATCTCAGCAGGCAGCTTTCATTCCAGCTGTGTTGATTGATAAATGGGATCTTTACATCTTAACCTACTTAGTTCTCATGATGTTTTTAAGACTGTAAAATCCATGTAACTTAAATGCTATTTTCTGACTTGTAGTTTGAGTTAATATTTTTCCTAGGAGAGTAACGAGGCTAGCAGCCCTCATACAGTGTTGTGTTGGGGTATGGAGGTATACTGTACTGAGATAGTTTGGGCTGCCTACAAGTAAAAGTAGTGTTTTGCTTCCGTAAGTGTGGTCTTAGTTGTGAGATGGTATCATTAACAAAAGGATATTTATTTCCAAAGGTATTCTAGTTAGTGTGGTCTGTAGGTTAATCTTTACACTTGAGGCTTATCAGAGAAACTTCAGTGTTACTGTATTGTGCTTATAGCATGTTTTATAGCTTAGTTCTTACACTGAATTTTTAAATACATAGTTTCAACATTATGAAGCAACAGTTTTTTGTTTTAGTTAAGTAAAAAGAGTGCACTATCATGGTCTCTATTATCTATGTTTCCCCCTATTTAATTATATTGGAAGCTTTAGGAACCTGTACATTTAATGTTGAAATGCTATATAAAGGGACATAAAATGGTAGGCTTTCCCAGTGACTTTGCTTTAGCATTCGGTCATGTTAAAATAGTAATACCTAGAGTCTGTTGATAAACATTACCATTATGTCATTGTTACAAATTAATGTGCTTCAGATAATGCAGTAAAGCATGAAACACTTAATCTTGAGTTACTTGAATGTATATTATCTATAACCTAGAAATTGTATAGCCCCTGAAAGAGACCCAATTTTTAGTTATGTTTTTGACCATTTTCAAATATCCAAATATACTCATACCTACTGCACACCAGATAACTGTACTGAGATAGTTTATACATCTGTCTATTTAAAATATAACCAAATCACATTGTGCTGAGGATGCAGCCCAGTGGCAGAGTGGTGTTCTTGGCAGCCTGTGTTAAGACCTTGGGTTTCAAAAAAAAAAAAAAAAAAAAAAGGAACTGTTGAGTCATTAAAAAAAAAAAAAGACCTTGGGTTTCATCCATAGTGTCACTAAGATTTTAAGAAAAAAGCATACAATAAAGTTTCTAAATGTTTTTGTGCCACCAAATGTGAAGTGCCCATAAATGAAGACTTCCTGGGATCTACCTCGGGGTTACTATTGCGATAATGAAACACCATGACCAAGCAGCTGGCGAGGACGGGGCTTATTTTGCTTACACTAACATGTTTCTCATGGATGGAAGTCAAGGCAGGAACCTGGAGGCAGGAGCGGATTCAGAGGCCATGGGTAGGTGCTGCTTTCCAGCTTGCTCTCCATGATTTGCCATTTGCTTTCTCACAGAACCTAAGACCTCCAGCCCAGGGGTGGCAGCAAGCACAAAGGGCTCTGTTGCAGGAGCTCCTGCAATAGCGCTCGGCCCTCACCAACCAATCACTCATTAAGATGTCCTGCAGGCCTGCCCACTGCCTGGTCTCATGGAGCTTGTTCTCAATTGGGAGTCCTTTCCTTGGATGTCTCCAGCTGTGTCAAGAATCAAATAAGTAGTCAACTCTCTTTTATAATTCATTTCTCATTTTTCTTTTTTTCTGGTTTTCCAAGACAGGGTTTCTCTGTATATCTTTGGAACCTGTCCTGGAACTCACTATCCTTGAAATCACAGAGATCCGCTTGCCTCTGCCTCCCCAGAGGATTAAAGGCGTATGTCACCACTGCCCAGCTCATTTTTCTTTTTTATTAGCATATAATAATTGTACAAAGCAATGTTTATCATGACATATCTATACATGTATGTAATAAACTTGGGTCACTTTTTTTCCCTTACTGCCTCATACTTGACCCCATCCCCTTCTCTCACTAGTCTCTTAACCTAATAGTCCACTTACAAGGTTAATCTTATTAAGTGGGTAAAATCCAAGATCTTTTATTTTTCAAGCTTGAGAGATCTTGGAACTCCTAAGAAATGAATTGGTTTGGGCTATTCTATGATAAAACTATCACCTAATGTTTAATTATTTAAGCCAAAAAAATTGGAGTCAGATATATACAGTTAGTAAATTAACACTCTGAAACCATAGTTTTTACACTGTAATCACGTGAGATAAGTTTAAAACCAAGATAAGATATTCGTATTAGCTTTGCAAGGATTTTTTTTTATATAGCTTCTCTTCTGTGGGGTGTAAGTTGCTATCAGTTCATTCCCCCACTACACTACAGAAACACTATGAATGTTAGCAATGTCTTAGTGTTTTATGTTAATGTGCCTGATAGTCTTGGAAGGAGTTTGTGGTGGAAGTTAAATGATTAAATTGTAAATTTGTATTTAAAAGTGGGATTGCTCATGTGACTAAAATTGAACTCACTGGAAGGTGGAAAAGCCATTATGCTTCATAGTTCATGGATACTAGAATCCAGAATACTTCCCTCAAGGCAGAAACTGTTAATTTTACATTACAAGCTAGGTTGTTGGAGATCCCTTTAAAATATTAGTGATGGGAGGCTGGAGAGATGGCTCAGCGGTTAAGAGGACTGACTCTTCTTCCAGAGGTCCTGAGTTCAATTCCCAGCAACCACATGGTGGCTCACAGCCATCTACAATGAGATCTGGTGCCCTCTTCAGGAGTGCAGGTACACATGCAGGCCGAGTATTGTATTCACAATAAATAAATAAATCTAAAACCCCAGTAAACATTCTATTTGATTTCTTAATACATGTGTCAGCCATAAAATAAAAGATAATGTAATTTTTGCAGAATCCTGATTCTAGGTTAAGGTATTTCCTGGTAGATTAAAATATAAAATAGCCTGTTTTCATCCTACAAAATTAAATCTTTCTTTCGAGTGGAGTGCATGTTTTTGTTGTAAAATGTAATCTTGACTTTAAAAAAATAGGAAAAAATTTACTTATAAGTAATCTTGAAGGCCAAATTATTGAAGGTTTGATTTTTATCTCAATCTGATTGTTCAGAATTAACCCTTAATGAAATGTCATCAGTGAACTCATCGAATTGGTAATAAGTTGTCACTGTATATATTTTTGACAATAAAATTTATTATATATAGATGGCCGATATGGGATTTATTTCATACTCACGGAGTTTAAAATGTACCACCAGAATCATGGTGCTGGTGGCTTTTATTTTTATTGTGACCCCAGCCTTTAGCGAGGTCCTGGTGGTGGTTTTTAATTTGCACTAAAAGCAAGAAATTCTGTAATTTGGCACCAAGTTGATTTTATAGCCTAGCCGACCAAAACCATAAAGCTAGGTCGTTATGCTGTAGAAATGGAAATGAGAATTTTGCAGCGTTTGTAGGGAAGTTTTATGTTTTCATAGAAATAGGGAACGGACACTTATGCTGTAATGCGTATCAAGAAAACGGAGTCCAGCGTTTCGGTTAGTCCTAAATTTTACGAGGTTTTAAAGCCCGTCGAAAGCGCGGCAGCAGTCACTCTGGGGCCCCGCTGCCCACGCCCCGGCCCAGAGGCGAATGTCAGGAGCCTCGGCCCGATTGGTCGGAAACGCTGCTGGGAAATCGGAAAACACCAATGGCTGGGACGAAGGGCGTGGTCTGGGCGCAGGAGGCGGGTCAATTCTCCGGTCCCGCCCCCTGATTCTGCTTCCGGGGCGGGAGGGTGCGCCACGTCATCTTCGGGCTCCCAGTGCCAGCCGGGCAGTGGATGTTGGGAAGCAAGATGGCGTCCACGGCCAGCATTCGGGAGAGGCAAACAGGTACTCGTTATTTCCTTCTCTGCAGCTTGGGCCCGAGCAAAGCAGCGACCTCTCTCTTGGCCGCCTTCGCTGGTTGTTCTTGCAGCTCGGAGTTGAGCTTCTTGAGCTGCTCCACTTTGAGGTGTAAGGAAGAAATGACTTTAGTTTTCCAGCTTTTCCTGTGGTACAGAGCGGCTTGAGTGGGCTGGTTCTGCATTAGAGCTCCAGGAGGCCATCCCAGCAAGGGCTGGCAGCTGGTCTTTCCTTTCCTACGTTGTCATATAACGAGGGCTCTAGATTCGCGTTTATTGATAGTTCAGGTCTCCCAGGATGGCTTGGTTTTCACTTTCAGGTCTGATGTTTTTTTAAAAACCGACATTTGCGCCGTAATTACGAAATCTGAGTATTCTTCTCAGAGCTCCTTACTTTATGCCGTGTTCTTTGGACCAGTCTCGGGAGAACCTGAAGAAAAATGATAATGACTTCCTTCTGCAGCTTGCTGGAAGGGGAGTGGAGACTGTCAAATTAGCAGCGCCCCGTTTCAGTTGTTCTACAGATTAGTAATCTCAAAGTGGTATAATTGTATCTTAAGTGAAGCACATTCGTACAGCTTCCACTTAATTCAGAAAATATATAAAGGTACACACTACTTCCCTTGGCTTCTTTATTAATATGAGATACTCCTAATTTTCCTTATTTTCTCTAAGCAACTCTAGTAAATTGATAATTGCCTATTGGTCCCCAAATAATGATTTAGAAATAGCTATATACAATATAGTTATGTTATATTTGATTTATGTATACTACTTGTGGAGAAGCCTTCTGCCAAAGAGAATAGAAATAGGCCACGAACCATCAAGAATGTTTATAGTTTAATTCTCTTAAAATTATGCTTATTTGTATGAAAAATATTTGGTTAGAATCAATGCAACATTCCAGAATTTGAACTGTACCTGAAAAATAAGATAAAACTTCATAGATTTGAATGTAGCATACTGAAATGTGCTTTACGTTTCTCAGTAGATCAATTAGTAAAACCTGTGAGGCATAGTAAGGCATAACTTAAACATGGGAAAGTCAACAATGGTTTGAGCAGTGCTTGAGAATTCATCTGATTTGCAAAGAAATAGAAGTCCAGGTTTTCTTAGCACTTTGGGTCCAAGAGCTTAATAAAACTAAATGATTTTACTACCCAGCAGCAAAACTGTCCTGAATAAAGGGAGCCTTTTAAAGGTTGAATTTCTATAACAGTACATTTTAATATGCAGACACTGTAAAACATTAAAATCTAATACTTCATTTTGTCTTTCAGTGGAATAAATTTCATTGCAGCAAGAGTCCACATTTTTTGCTATATTGCTTATGTACATCAGTTATTAAATTTGTTCCTTAAGTGAATTGTTTCTTAATTTCAGAAGAATAAAATCATTTGTGTTGCAACAGTAGAAGTAACATTTACTTGATTTCTATAGAGAATATTTTGGAATAACAATTCTCAAATATTCTAGGTAGAAGATGCTCTGATACAAAGTAGTTCGTAGTCAGTTTGGATGGATGAGATAGTAGTTTGTGCACTGAGAATTTATTATTGTGTTAGGTGGTTTGTGTTGTTTTCTAATTTCACAGATGAAGAAACTAAGGTACAAAGGTGTTAAATAGCATACCCGTTTCTTTCGTTGTCCTCCTGAAATACCTCTGTCACCTCAAATACCACTGCTTTGTGAAAGCTTCCTTGATGACTTTCTTCTCTTTTCTATCCTCAATTCAACAGTCAGAATAAGTTGCTTGTTGCTGTTGCAGGTTCTTGCTTATCTCCTTGCTTCTCAGTGTTGCACAGCCCAAATCAACTGCTTTTTCTCTTATTGTGACCCCTTCTGGCTTCTTAATTTTAATTATTATATATGCTGGTATCTTGATCAGTGTTCTGTTGCTTTGAAGAGGCACCACGACTAAGGAAACTCTTATAAAGAAAACATTTAATTTGTGCTTGCTTATAATTTCAGAGGTTGAATCTGTTATGACAGGGGCAGTGGCAGCATGCGGGCAGACACGGTGCTGGAGAAGTGGCTGCCAGTTGTAAATCCAGATCCCCATGTAGCAGGAATAGAGAGCCTCTGGTCTTGGAGTGGGCTTTTTGATACCTCAGGGCCCAACGCCAGTGACAGACTTCAGCCAGCAAGGCCACACCTCCAATCCTTTCATGCAGTGCAGCTCTCTGGTGTCCAAGTATTCAGATCCCTGAGCCTAAGGGGCCACTTTCCTTCAAACCTCCACAGCTGGTCATTCCCAGGTAGAGGACTCTGAATGCAGGCCACTTGGTATCAGTTAATGAAAGCTTCGTTCTTCATGTCGCTTATGGAAAACTCCTGTGACTGTCTCTTTTTCTTCTTTTACTTTAACTCAGTTCAGATTTGTCCATAAGTCATTCCATTTTTCTCTAACTCCGGTAGCTGTTGTCCCCAAGTACAGGCTCCTTGAGTTTGCACAATAACTTTCTGTCTGTAGTTTTTGCTTTTACAACCTTGTTCCCTTTCATTCTTTACCGATGCCGCCTACAGTAAACATGGCACACATTTGCCTAAAACTTTCTAATAGTGTCTTCTTTTCATTATGGTATAGTTGATCTCCCAAGTTCACATATGACCTAGTTTCTGCTTATTTTGCCCACTGTGTTACCTTCCTTGACCCCTCACCTGGATGTTCCCACCCTTCGTGTTTGTCTCTTGGTAAGTAACTTGTATGGCTGACTTCCTGTAGGTCTTTCCTCGAAAGTGTTTGTCAGGAGGCCTTCCTGATCACTGTTCATGACTACCCCACCTCACTTTTCTCCTTTCGTGGTCCCGTTCTTCTTCACAGCACTTAGTATGAGCGCATACATCACATGTTTTATTTATTTTGTAAATGGCCCTCATCCTCAACAAGAATGAAATGAAAACTGTCCGAGGACAGGCCATTTTTATTTATCTGTTTGCCTCTGTGTGATTGATCCCCTATACTTAGGGCAGAATCTAGTACATGATAAGCACTCAGTAAACATGTGTTGAATGACGAGCAAACTGTTCATATAAATGATATTGTTTACTCAGTAAATGAGTGAAGAAAATTTTCTGGCTAACGTTAAAGCTACCTTAACCAAATGTAAGAATATAGGGTAATGTATTTAGAGCACATAAAGAAAGTTTATCTTTTCCTTTAGAAGCAGTGATTTAAGCACTGGAATGTTAAATTCTAATGAAGTAGTATTGCATTCATTTATCACTCTTTAAACATATGCCATATGCTTCATTAAAAAATTAGTTGTGTTTGATGCCAGGAGGTGGTGGCACATGTCTTTAATCCCAGCACTTGGGAAGCAGAGGCAGGCAGATCTCTGTGAGTTCGAGTTCAGCCTGGTTTGTGCTGAGCTCCAGGAGAGCTATGGCTGTTAGACAGAGAAACCCTCTCTCTCAAAAAAGGAAAAAAGAAATGTCTTTAACAATTTAGCCAAGGCTCAGATTTGGAGAACCTTTCCTAACTGAGCCAAGACAAATGTGAGATTATCTACTGCGACTGACCTCTCATGATGAGATGGATGAGCATCTGTTAACTCTGGCGAATGTCAGGTGCCAGCTTACGTGGCAGCCCAGGCTGTGGTTCTTCCTGCTTTCTGTTGAATGAAGAGTATAACTACTCTTTAGTGCCTGGCCATGGGAAGAAAGCACCACTGAGAACACAGTCAACCCCGGAGCACTGTGTCCGTGCTGTGTGTGTATGTTTGTGCAATGCCACAGCCGCTGTCACTCTTTGAAGTGGGCAGCAGTTGTTGGTAATATGTATTATTGTAGAATCAGCATTTGACAGGGAAAATAAATAGGTTGGCTGGCGAGCTGTTTTAGCAAGTAAAGGCACTTGCCACCAAATCTGATGACCTGAGTTTAAGCCCAGAACCCACACAGTAGAAGAGTACCAACTCCTGTGGTCTCCACTTATATGGCATGACTTATGTGTGGTGTAAATTCTAATTGGCCTTAACAATAAAAACCTGGAGTCAGATATAGGGGTTAATGCTGAAAGAGCAGAGAAACAGACCAGCCAGCCACTAGTTCTTACCTCTACTGAATCCTCAGACCAAAAGGGACAATCCTGTTAGTAGGAAACCTTAGACTGGATCTTGGGCTCCTGTCTCCTCCCACCTTATATCCATCCCTCTCTCTGCCCAACCATATATCCTTCCCATCTCCACCTGTCTAGTGCTAGGATTAAAGGTGTGTGAGCCCAAGGGCTGGGATTAAAGGTGTGA